CTCAAAGCTCATCACTAAGCTAAGGATCCTGGGACTAAACACCTCCCTCTGCAACTGGATCCTGGACTTCCTGACGGGCCGCCCCCAGTTGGTAAGGGTAGGTAACAACACATCTGCCACGCTGATCCTCAACACGGGGGCCCCTCAGCGGTGCGTGCTCAGTCCCCTCCTGTATTCCCTGTTCACCCATGACTGCATGGCCAGGCACGACTCCAACACCATCATTAAGTTTGCCGACGACACAACAGTGGTAGGCCTGATCACGACAACGATGAGACAGACGATAGGGAGGAGGTCAGAGACCTGGCCCTGTGGTGCCAGGATAACAACCTCTCCCTCAACGTGATCAAGACAAAAGGAGATGATTGTGGACCGGTACCCCCCTGTATATAGTCTCCCTACTGTTATTTTATTTTACTGCTGCTCTTTAGTTATTTGCTTTTCTTTTTTATAAAAAAGTAGCATTGTTGGTTAAGGGCTTGTAAGTAAGTATTTACATTTTACATTTGAGTCATTTAGCAGACGCTCTTATCCAGAGCGACTTACATCCAGAGTGAGTGCATACATTATTTTTTTATTATTCATACTGTAATGTCTACACCTGTTGTATTCGGCACATGTGGCAAATAACATTTGATTTGATAAGAGTTACCACATCAATGTTACACTGAGTGAAGTTGTTATTAAATGTTATATTCCAATGGTATTTTAATGTTATTAGTTATATTCCATTCCAATATTATATTCCAATAAATATTTTTTAAAATGAATTATAAACAACTATTGAAAACCTTTTGCTCCTGAATATCATTTTAAAGTGCTGGGATTTAAAATCTTGCATTATTCAAATAATATTTAGTGCAATTGTACATAATGGATTGTATGGAAAAGGAACAACAAAGAAAGAACAAAGAAAGTTAATGTGCAGGTGAGTTAAAAATAGTGACTTTACATCAAATCTCCTCATAGTGCGGATATTAATGGTGACATGTGCAACACCATTTATCCCCCCCCCCCCCCCATATTTTATTAAAATAATTAATATAAGACAACTAGACTTAGCTTTTAAGTATTACTTACTGAAGAATTTCTAAATGAAACGGACTAAATGGATTTTAAAACCCTATGCCATATTCTTCTACTGGGGTAACAGTTATCCCGGTACTTTAAAAAAAGCGTCTCTTTTCTAAAACCAACATTTCATGAGATAACTAAAAAAGTGTACACTGTAGCCATTTATTTCCATTTATAGTTTATCCACCTAAGCATGATCTTCATCCACATAACAGTGTAGTAGGGTACTAGGGGGGGGGGGGGGTAGTTACCCCCTAGTACCCTACTACACTGAACAAAAATATAAACATAACATGTAAAGTATTGATCCCATGTTTCATGAGCGGAAATAAAAGATCCCCGAAATTTCCCATACACACAAAAGGCTTCTTTCTCTCAAATGTTGTGCACAAAATTGTTTACATCCCTGTTAGTGAGCATTTCTTATTTGCCAAGATAATCCATCCACCTGACAGGTGTGGCATATCAAGAAGCTGATTAAACGGCATGATCATTACACAGGTGCACCTTGTGCGGGGGACAATAAAAGGCCACTAAAATGTGCAGTTTTGTCACAAAACACAATGCCACAAATGTCTCAAGTTTTGAGGGAGCATGCAATTGGCATGCTGATTGCAGGAATGTCCACCAGAGCTGTTGCCAGAGAATTGAATGTTAATTTCTTTACCATAAACCGCCTCCAACGTCATTTTAGAGAATTTGGCAGTATGTCCAACCGACCCACAACCTCATGTGGGCAAGCGGTTTGCTGATGTCAACATTGTGAACAGTTCCCCATTGTGGCGGTGGGGTTATGGTATGGGTAGGCATAAGCTACAGACAAACACAATAGCATTTTATCGCAATGGCAATTTGAATGCAAAGAGATACCGTGACGAGATCCTAAAGCCCATTGTCGTGCCATTCATCCGCCGCCATCACCTCATGTTTCAGCATGATAATGCAAGGCCCCATGTCACAAGGATCGGTACACAATTCCTGGAAGCTGAAAATGTCCCAGTTCTTCAATGGGCTGCATACTCACTAGACATGTCACCCATTGAGCATGTTTGGGATGCTCTGATTGACATGTAAGACAGCGTGTTCCAGTTCACGCCCAATATCCAGCAACTTCACTCAGCTTTTGAAGAGGAGTGGGACAACATTCCACAGGTCACAATCAACAGCCTGATCAACTCCATGTGAGGTGTGTCGCGCTGCATGAGACAAATGGGGGTCAAGCCAGATACTGACTGGTTTTCTGATCCACGCCCCTACTTATTTTGTGACCAACAGATGCATATCTGTATTCTCAGTCATGTGCAATCCATTGCTTGAGTCCTAATTTATTTATTTAAATTGACTGATTTCCTTATATGAACTGTAACTCAGTAAAATCGTTAATTGTTGCATGTTGCGTTTATATTTTTGTTCAGTATAGGTTGTCACTAGTTACCACAGCCACAAAGTCAAAATGGCTATATCGTAAAATGTCATAAACAAAAAAATACAATACTTTTTGTTTTGTTTTTAAGGTAATGGACACCTGACCTTATATTTAAAGCCTTTTGGAATGCACATTTTACAGTAAATAAGAAGTGATATTTCATGGGGACATAAAAGGCACCGCATGGTAGGAATGACCCACTTGTGTTATGTGACTAATGATTTGTTGCCACAGATAGTTTGTTTACATTTCTACTGTTGTGGCTAGATGAAGTACGCCTACAGCTCCATCTAGTGGTCATGTCGGGGACAACAGTTGTATAGCCTAGCTCTAACCCTTTTCCTAACCTTAACCTCATTCTCCGTAACCTGCTACGTTAATTTACCAAACCTGCTGCGTTAATTCTAACCTGCCACGTTAATTATCCTAACTTGAAATGTAAAACAAAGCATCTGTGGTGACAAATCATCAGTATCACCACACCGGTACTTCAAGGGTTAATTTTGCATGGTCTGAGTAGAGACAAATCCATAGCTCTGTGCTAGTTGGTCGAAATCTTCACCATGATAGAATAGAATAGATCATTTATTGTTCATTGCCCTTCCCAACACCCCCAGAGCAGAATGGCATAAGGAGCTATATACCACAAAAGAAAAACATTAAGTCAATCAAATCGAACAAGTTTATTCTCTGAAAGGTCTTGTTTACAGCTAGGCATAAGTGTGTGTGAGGAAGAGGGGGAAGCAGTGTGGGGCAGGTGTGCAAAAATACAGTATGAGAGGTACAGTTGAAGTCGGAAGTTTACGTACACTTAGGTTGGAGTCATTAAAATTCGTTTTTCAACCACTCCACAAATTTCTTGTTAACAAACTTAAGTTTTGGCAAGTCGGTTAGGACATCTACTTTGTGCATTTTTCCAACAATTGTTTACAGACAGATTATTTCACTTATAATTCACTGTATCACAATTCCAGTGGGTCAGAAGTTTACATACACTAAGTTGACTGTGCCTTTAAACAGCTTGGAAAATTCCAGAAAATGATGTCATGGCTTTAGAAGCTTCTGATAGGCTAATTGACATCATTTGAGTCAATTGTAGGTGTACCTGTGAATGTATTTCAAGGACTACCTTCAAACTCAGTGCCTCTTTGCTTGACATCATGGGAAAATCAAAAGAAATCAGCCAAGACCTCAGAAAAAAAATTGTAGACCTCCATAAGTCTGGTTCATCCTTGGGAGCAATTTCCAAACGCCTGAAGGTAACACGTCCATCTGTACAAACAATAGTACGCAAGTATAAACACCATGGGACCACGCAGCCGTCATACCTCTCAGGAAGGAGACGCGTTCTGTCTCCTAGAGATGAACGTACTTTGGTGCGAAAAGTGCAAATCAATCCCAGAACAACAGCAAAGGACCTTGTGAAGATGCTGGAGGAAACGGGTTCAAAAGTATCTATATCCACAGTAAAACGAGTCCTATATCGACAACCTGAAAGGGCGCTCAAAAGGGAAGAAGCCACTGCTCCAAAACCGCCATAAAAAAGCCAGACTACGGTTTGCAACTGCACATGGGGACAAAGATCGTACTTTTTGGAGAAATGTCCTCTGGTCTGATGAAACAAAAATAGAACTGTTTGGCAACAATGACCATCGTTATGTTTGGAGGAAAAAGGGGGACGCTTGCAAGCCGAAGAACACCATCCCAACCGTGAAGCATGGGGGTGGCAGCATCATGCTGTGGGGGTGCTTTGCTGCAGGAGGGACTGGTGCACTTCACAAACTAGATGGCATGATGAGGAAGGAAAATTATGTGGATATATTGAAGCAACATCTCAAGACATCAGTCAGGAAGTTAAAGCTTGGTCGCAAATGGGTCTTCCAAATGGACAATGACCCCAAGCATACTTCCAAAGTTGTGGCAAAATGGCTTAAGGACAACAAAGTCAAGGTATTGGAGTGGCCAACACAAAGCCCTGACCTCAATCATATAGAACATTTGTGGGCAGAACTGAAAAAGCGTGTGCGAGCAAGGAGGCCTACAAACCTGACTCAGTTACACCAGCTCTGTCAGGAGGAATGGGCCAAAATTCACCCAACCTATTGTGGGAAGCTTGTGGAAGGCTATCCGAAACGTTTGACCCAAGTTAAACAATTTAAAGGCAACGCTACCAAATACTAATTGAGTGTATGTAAACTTCTGACCCACTGGGAATGTGATGAAAGAAATCAAAGTTGAAAAAAATCAGTGTCTCTACTATTATTCTGACATTTCACATTCTTAATATAAAGTGGTGATCCTAACTGACCTTTGACAGGGAATTCTTACTAGGATTAAATGTCAGGAATTGTGAAAATCTGAGTTTAAATGTATTTGGCTAAGGTGTATGTAAACTTCCGACTTTAACTGTATGTGTGTGTCTGCACACATTAATATTAATGTGTGAATGTGTTATCTTTGTATAATATGTGTGTGTATTATCTATGTGAGTGTTTAGGCTCTATTCCACCCCCTGGCTGCTGGTGGATGGATGCCCCCCTCCCAGTTTGAAGTGTCTGAGCCTCTCTGGGTTGGTATGGGTGGAGCGGGCTGGGGCGGCGGGCAGGGGGGGCAGCAGGGCCTGGCTGGGGGGCAGGATGTGACCCCCCTTTCTGGACAGGATGTTGATCTCCTGGCGGAGGGCGTTGGCCTCCTGGGCTTGACTCTGGACCAGCTGGTACAGCCTCCGCCTCTCGTCCTCCTCAGCATGCCGACGGCCCTGGAACTGGGCACCCTGACACACCCACACGGCACGTGAGTTTCAAGTTTGGGGAAGCAAATATTCATCATAAAAAAATGCACCTTTATAATATAGCATTCCATGCATCATCGCATTTGCAGACTTATGTAAGATGGCCTACTATTCCTAATGTGATGAGTAGATTGGATAGTCATAATTTAGGCTAATAATATAACTCAATCACTGTTCTAAAAAAAATACTGTTCAATGCATGGCTAAGCGCGTAGTGGCGTAGAGCAGGGATCATCAACTAGATTCAGCCAATTCTTTTTATTTTTTATTGAGCGTATGGATGGTCAGGGGGCCGGAACATAATTACAAGTGAGTTGTAGACTGCAAATTGACCGCAAGAAGCCCAAACAGATAATATTTGACTAAAACATAATCATTTCAAACCTTGCTTAGAACTGTATATACGATCACATACAGTATATCTCTCTATGCGTGGGAATACTTTGGAACAGATTTCCAAAATTAAAACCACTTGGAGCTGATTTGCTGTTGTTTTTACAGTCTTATGTCCAACAATAAAATCACTTGGAGGGCCAAATAAAATCACCTGTGGGCCAAATTCGTCCCACGGGCCGCCAGTTGGGGAACCCTGGCGTAGAGTATAGGCCTAGGCTATATCAGATACGTTTCTCCTCCTTTCTTTGCACGGGGAAAAATTTGCCCTTTTATAAACACATTTCATGCAATTCTACTACACTTTTTATGACTGGAGACATTAGCAGAATCTTTTTTAATACAACAAAAATTACTGGTTAGCCTACTCTGCTGACACTGACAAACACATCAATAAAAATGACGTTGTCTGATCCATATAATAGGCCTACGAGAATGGGAGACACAAATACAATGACGTCACTCTAACCTGTATGTAGCTCTGTCCTTGAGTTGTTCTTGTCTATTATTGTTCTGTATTACAGTGAGCTCCAAAAGTACTGGGACAGTGACATTCTTTGTTGTTTTGGTTCTGTACTCCAGCACTTTGTATTTGAAATGATACATGACTATGAGGTTAAAGTGCAGACTGTCAGATTACATTTTAGGATAGTTTTCATCCATATCTGGTGAACTACTTAGAAATTACAGCACTTTTTGTACATAGTCCTCCCCATTTTTAAGGGACCAAAAGTATTGGGACAAATTCACTTATGTGTATTAAAGTAGTAAAAAGTTACGTATTTGGTCCCATATTCATTGCACGCAATGACTACATCAAGCATTTTTGTTTGTTTTGATTGTGTTTCAGATTATTTTGTGCCCAATAGAAATGAATGATAAATAATGTATTGTGTCTCTTCCGACTGTAGGCTATGCGACTTAAAACAATCCACAGATTATTTTTTTAAGGAAGCTGATGATCCACTGTGGCCAAATCATGCTTTCTGGTGTAGGAGCCTATTTTGGCAATTTAATTAAATTTACTTTAGGGGAAGCTTAGCTATAGGCCCTGCCTATGCACAGAAGGTCACGCACACACACAGAGGCACGCTGTTATTTACTGCATATAAACATTTACATTTACATTACATTTTAGTCATTTAGCAGACGCCCTTATCCAGAGCGACTTACAGTTAGTGAGTGCATACATTATTTTTTTTTTTTATACTGTCCCCCTGTGGGAATCGAACCCACAACCCTGGCGTTGCAAACGCCATGCTCTACCAACTGAGCTACATCCCTGCCAGCCATTCCCTCCCCTACCCTGGACGACGCTTAGCCAATTGTGCGCCGCCCCATGGGTCTCCCGGTCACGGCCGGCTACGACAGAGCCTGGATCTCTAGTGGCACAGCTAGCACTGCAATGCAGTGCCTTAGACCATTATTTCCAAGATGGCGTAGTAGTGCAGTTGTGTTTTTATCGTCTGTCTGTAAATAGCCTGTAAATACCCTATTTTTCGTACATATTTCCCTATCAGACTTTTCATCCTTCTACAAGATATACTTTCCTGCAACCCGCCTCACTCAATGTGGAACGGATTCTATTATTGACTTACCTTGACTTACCTTTATCTAGAATCTAGAATCTCCAGTTGAAACTAGCTAGCCAGCTAACTAGCTACTTGCTATTTGCTATTAGCCACAGCTAGCGGTGTTTTACCCAGGACATTGGATTTTTTTCTGCGGGATTAATTTTAATCACTGGACATTGATCACCGGATATTCGGCCAGTCTGCACAGCGCGTTATCGACCCAGAACATATCAGTTTTTTCCGCCGGAATCACTGAATCACTGGACCTTTAACTCCGGATTTCATCGCTACCAGCTAGCTACCACCAGCCAGCTACAACAAAACGGACGCTGTGGTCTGGCTAATCAAATCATCCTGAGCTAGGCCCATCGCCCATCTCCCGGCTATCTACCTCTCTGTCAACCGGACGGGACCACCTAGTGTTGACACGGAGTCCCGCCGATCCTACACGACTGGTTTGCGGACGAAATCGTCTGATGTGGTTACGACGTTAACCACGAAGATTCCATCCATCTGCTAGCCCTGGCCCGCTAGCCGTGGCCTCTTACTAGTGCTTCACCACCGGACCTTATGATAACTCAGCTATACAGCTGATATCTGCTGGACTGTTCCTTTTTACGGTACTACATCCTGTTTATGTTTAGCCTCAGCCCAAACATGGTTAGTTTATTGTTGTTTCGGTTATTTCTAATTGTACTATATCACTGTAGACCCCCCAGCCTAGCTAAACCTGCATTAGATAGCTCCTTTGCACCTCCCCCTATACACGCGGAGACCGACTCAATTGATGACTCTAGCGATGCTATCTCTTTCATTGTTACCCAACGCTTAGGGTTACCTCCACTTTACTCATATCCTTCCATATCCTTGTCTGTACATAATGCCCTGAATCTTTTCTATAACACCCGGAAATCTGCCCCCTTTATTCTATGTACCCAACGCACTAGAAGACCAGTTCTTAAAGCCTTTAGCCGTATCCTTATTCTAGTCCTCCTCTGTTCCTCTGGTGATGTAGAGGCTAACCCAGGCCCTGCAGTCCTCAGTATCACTCCTACTCCCCAGGCGCTATCATTTGATGACTTCTGTAATCGCAAAAGTCTTGGTTTCTTGCACATAAATATCAGAAGTCTACTTCCTAAGTTTGAGTTATTCACTGCGTTAGCACACTCTGCCAACCCTGATGTTCTAGCAGTGTCTGAATCCTGGCTCAGGAAGGCCACCAAAAATTCTGAAATTTCCATCCCCAACTATAACATTTTCCGTCTAGATAGAACTGCCAAAGGGGGTGGAGTTGCAATCTACTGTAGAGATAGCCTGCAGAGCTCTATCATACTATCCAGGTCTGTGCCCAAACAGTTTGAGCTTCTACTTCTAAAAATCCACCTTTCCAGAAATAAGTCTCTCACTGTTGCCGCTTGCTACAGACCCCCCTCAGCCCCCAGCTGTGCCCTGGACACCATATGTGAATTGATTGCCCCCCATTTATCCTCAGAGTTTGTACTGCTTGGTGACCTAAATTGGGATATGCTTAATACCCCAGCCATCCTACAAGCCAAGCTAGATGCCCTCAACCTCACGCAAATTATCAACGAACCTACCAGGTACAACCCTAAATCCGTAAACATGGGTACCCTCATAGATATCATCCTGACTAACATACCCTCTAAATACACCTCAGCTGTCTTCAACCAGGATCTCAGCGATCACTGCCTTATTGCCTGCGTCCGTAACGGGTCCGCGGTCAAACGACCACCCCTCATCACTGTCAAACGCTCCCTAAAACACTTTAGCGAGGAGGCCTTCCTAATTGACCTGGCCCAGGTATCCTGGATGGATATAGATCTCATTCCGTCAGTAGAGGATGCCTGGTTGTTCCTTAAAAGTAATTTCCTCTCAATCTTAAATAAACATGCCCCATTCAAAAAATACAGAACTAAGAACCGATATAGCCCCTGGTTCTCCTCAGACTTGACTGCCCTTGACCAGCACAAAAACATCCTGTGGCGTACAGCATTAGCATCAAATAGCCCCCGCGATATGCAACTTTTCAGGGAAGTTAGGAACCAATATACACAAGCAGTCAGGAAAGCAAAGGCTAACTTTTTCAAACAGAAATTTGCATCCTGTAGCACTAACTCCAAAAAGTTTTGGGACACTGTAAAGTCCATGGAGAATAAGAGCACTTCCTCCCAGCTGCCCACTGCACTGAGGCTAGGAAACACTATCACCACCGATAAATCTACAATAATCGAGAATTTCAACAAGCATTTTGCTACAGCTGGCCATGCTTTCCATCTGGCTACCACTAACCCGGCCACCAACTCTGCACCCTCTGCTGCAACTTGCCCATGCCCCCCCCCGCTTCTCCTTCACACAAATTCAGACAGCTGATGTTTTGAAAGCGCTGCAAAATCTGGACCCCTACAAATCAGCTGGGCTAGACAATCTGGACCCTTTCTTTCTAAAACTAGCCGCCGAAATTGTCGCTACCCCTATTACTAGTCTGTTCAACCTCTCTTTCATAACGTCTGAGATCCCCAGAGATTGGAAAGCTGCCGCGGTCATCCCCCTCTTCAAAGGGGGTGACACTCTAGATCCAAATTGCTACAGACCTATATCCATCCTGCCCTGCCTTTCGAAAGTATTCGAAAGCCAAGTTAACAAACAGATAATTGACCATTTCGAATACCACCGTACCTTCTCCGCTATGCAATCCGGTTTCCGAGCTGGTCACGGGTGCACTTCAGCCACGCTCAAGGTCCTAAACGATATTATAACCGCGATTGATAATAGACAGTACTGTGCAGCCGTCTTCATCGACCTGGCCAAGGCTTTCGACTCTGTCAACCACCGCATTCTTATTGGCAGACTAAATAGCCTTGGTTTCTCAAATGACTGCCTCGCCTGGTTCACCAACTACTTCTCAGATAGAGTTCAGTGTGTCAAATCGGAGGGCCTGTTGTCTGGACCTATGGCAGTCTCTATGGGGGTGCCACAGGGTTCAATTCTTGGGCCGACACTTTTCTCCGTGTATATCAATGATGTCGCTCTTGCTGCTGGTGACTCTCAGATCCACCTCTACGCAGACGACACCATTTTGTATACATCTGGCCCTTCATTGGACACTGTGTTAACAAACCTCCAAACGAGCTTCAATGCCATACAACAATCCTTCAGTAGCCTCCAACTGCTCTTAAACACTAGTAAAACTAAATGCATGCTTTTCAATCGAACGCTGCTGGCACCCGCCCACCCGACTAGAATCACCACTCTCGACGGGTCTGACCTAGAGTATGTGGACAACTACAAATACCTAGGTGTCTGGTTAGACTGTAAACTCAACTTCCAGACTCACATAAAGAATCTCCAATCCAAAGTTAAATCTAGAATCGGCTTCCTATTTCGCAACAAAGCCTCCTTCACTCATGCTGCCAAACATGCCCTCGTAAAACTGACTATCCTACCGATCCTTGACTTCGGCGATGTCATTTACAAAATAGCCTCCAACACTCTACTCAGCAAATTGGATGTAGTCTATCACAGTGCCATCCGTTTTGTCTCCAAAGCCCCATACACTACCCACCACTGTGACCTGTACGCTCTTGTTGGCTGGTCCTCACTACATGTTCGTCGTCAAACCCACTGGCTCCAGGCCATCTATAAATCACTGCTAGGCAAATCCCCGCCTTATCTTAGCTCATTGGTCACCATAGCAGCACCCACCCGTAGTCTGCGCTCCAGCAGGTATATCTCACTGGTCATTCCCAAAGCCAACACCTCCTTTGGCCGCCATTCCTTCCAGTTCTCTGCTGCCAATGACTGGAACGAATTGCAAAAATCTCTGAAGCTGGAGACTCTCATCTCCCTCAATAACTTTAAGCATCAGTTGTCAGAGCACCTTACCGTTCACTGCACCTGTACACAGCCCATCTGAAATTAGCCCACCCAACTACCTCATCCCTATATTATTTATTTTGCTCATTTGCACCCCAGTATCTCTATTTGCACATAATCTCTTGCACATCTAGCATTCCAGTGTTAATACTATTGTAATTATTCTGCACTATAGCCTATTTATTGCCTTACCTCCATAACTTGCTACATTTGCACACACTGTATATATATTTTCTGTTGTATTTCTGACTTTGTCTTTTACCCCATATGTAACTCTGTGTTGTTGTTTTATTGCACTACTATGCTTTATCTTGGCCAGGTCGCAGTTGTAAATGAGAACCTGTTCTCAACTGGCTTACCTGGTTAAATAAAGGTTAAATAAAATTTTAAAAAAAACTGCGCCACTCGGGAGTCCAGACATGTCATATCGTGCATACACACTATCATAAAAGCACTTTCACATAAATTATGAAAACACACACACGTACAGTACCATCTTGCTCTGCCTGGTGTTGAGTTTGTCCTCCATTTCTTTCTTCTGGCTCAGCAGGCTGTTCATACTGAGGAGACGCTCGGTGTGATGCCTTGTCACCTCTGTCACCGCATGACGGGCCTCTGTCACTTTCACCTGACACACACACACACACACACACACGTGTGTATCATAAACAAACACCTTAAACACACACATACGAAGGTGTATCATAAACAAACACCTTACACACACACTCTGCCATACCTCCCACTGTCTGAGCTCCTGTGTGTAAGCAGCCTCTCGGACTCTGCTCTCCTGCCTCATCTCCTCCAGGTTTCTGTTTCCAGACAGAGTCTGTAAGGCCTCCAGGTCCACCACTTTCCCAAACTTCATCAGCATCAGCTGCTCACAGCGCGCCTCCAGACCTACACACACACACAGGGTTTACCGTAAACAGAGAATGTATGCGATGCACAGGATGCAATCGTGATCTGCAGTATCTTATTTTTAACTTAAGTGCCGTGCCTGGTATTTAGAACGATCTGTTTTCAAATGTTCTCCGCAGTTTTGTGCCCCCAGTCCCCCTCAGCCTACTCTGTATCTTGGCCTCCATGTCGTTGCGGTCGTGGATGAGCTGGACATGCTGCTGCCTGGCCTGTCTGTAGAGGTCTCTCTGTTCACTCTTCTCCACCTGCAGTTCTTTAATCCTCTCCTGTAGTCCTCCCAACGCCACTGTGTTCAGCACTAGAGCTGGGGCCAGGCTGCACGGCACCACCCCATTGCTCATAAACTCTATCTGGTACACAGAGGGAGGGAGAAACCATTAATTCTGTATTTTCTAATATGGGTTGTTGACTTAGTTTTATTACTTATATCGATCACTAATAACTAAAGGCATGATGACATGTGATGATGTACGAGTGAACAAGGACAGTCACGTTTCTTACAAACGTGTTCCCTCAAATCCTCTCCTCACTTCTCTTTGATGTTTTGAGGAGGCGAGGAAAGGACAGGGGGAAAGGATGCCAGGAATTGAGGCAAGACAATTGAGAAAGACCCAGAAAGCGAGATAGACTTCTCTCCTCTCCTCACCTGGTGCAGTCTGAGGGGAACCACCACATCCAGCTCATTGAGCTTCTGTTGTTTCTCTCTGTTGAACAGCTCCAGGTCTCCCTCTGCTGCCTTCAGACTGCCATGAACCACTTTTTCCTACAACATACAGTCACAATACAGACTGGATGAAGGTTAAATGAATGTCAAGAAAGATAGAAAAGAAGACAGAGATACACTGATAAGTAGGTGTTGAGAAAGATCATGATGAGTGGTTAACAAGAAAAGCTTTGGGAGTGGAGGATGAGATGAGAAAAGAGGAGTGGAGAAGACAAAGGGGGAAGAGTGGATAATGACAAGATGGAGTGGTTGACGGGAAAACGGAATGTATGGAGATAAAGAGAGGAGAAATAGAGACAGAAGAAATGGAAGAAAATGTAAGAGGAGAGAGGATGGGAGGAGGTTAAGGGAGTGGAAGATAGGAAAGGGGTCAGAGAATGTGCACCTTCTTGACGAGGGAGTCACACTCCTTCCTCAGGTTGTCTGCAATCTTCTTCTCCTCCACCAGCAGCTCCTCGAGGTCCAGACGACGCTCACGCAGCTGCACCGTGTTCTCAAACAGCTCCGAGTCACAGTCTGGGGGAACACACACACACACAGACAGGTAGACAGACAGACAGACACAGTTAGAGTGCATATCTGTGGCTAAATAAGGGAGCACAATGTGGTGTATAACTGAGAATACTGTAAGGTGAATGGTAGCGACTGACTTGGGGGGCAGACGCTGTCATCCAGAGGACCACCGCTCTCTGAGCCACTGTCATCCTCATCATCATCCCAGTCAGACTCTTCATCAGATTCTTCATCACTGTCCTCCTGCTCCTCTGGTAGAAAACAACAACAGGATGAGCTGGGCACTGATAAACCATACACTCAACACACACAATCACACTTTCAGAGGGGTCCAGGACTTCACTTACCGTCATTGCCGACCTTCTCTTTCTTCTTGACGCGTTTGATCTTCTTCTTGAAGACCCTGGTGAGGAAGTCAGCAAACTTGTTGTTCTCCCCTAGAGAGCCCTGGAAGGTGGCAGCTATGGCCCTCTCTCTCTCCTGGAGCTTGGAGATGTCCCTCCGCTTCAGCTCCAGTGCCTGCTTACACTCCTCCAGCTTAGACTGGGAGGAGCAGGGAAGAGGAGAGAGATGGGATGATGGTCATGTGGAATACAGAGACACACACACAAACCTGAAACACCTGCCTTAGCATACACACACACACACACACACACATACATACATACACCCCTTCCTTCCCTCCCAGGTACCCTGAGGTCTTCCTCTTCCTCCACGCAGGCATTGAGTCTCTCCTGCAGGGAGTTCTCTCTCTTCTCAAACTCTTTGAGCAGCAGCAGCTCCTGGAACAGGGTGACGTGGCGCAGGTCAGCCAGTTTCATCTGGATGTCCAGCCACAGCTTCTCATGACGCAGCAGGCACAGCTCCGCATCAAACTGCCACACTGACGACGACATCTGAGAGGAGAGGGTGAGAAGAATGGGGTAAAGGGAAGAGGAAGGGGAATGGGAGTGAGGGAGGGAGAGAGAGAAATAAGGGAGAGGGGAAGAGTGAGGGGAAGAGTGAGGTTAGCTTGGTTTCAGTTGACAATTTGATGCCAGAGAGCCTGGATGTTGCATTGGGGGCCTTTGCACCCCACCTGGAAAATAAACTATGGGAAAGGCTGACCTGTTCCAGCAGAGAGTCCTCTTCATACAGAAGCCTGATCTCCTCCACCTCCCTCATCTCCTCCTCCAGCTCTGTCACCCCAGCTTCCTCCACCTCCCTCTCTCTCCTATCTGCAGGTGTATGGTAGGGGGTCTCCTCCTCTCCTTCTATCTCTGCCTCCAGCTGTTCCAGCAGAGTCAGGCCCCCCTCTGGTTCCTGGCCATGGGTACAGGCCCTGTGGGTAGGATTGGCACAATAATCGTTATCGCTGAATTATTAGGGGGGGTTGGGGGGGGGTGCGCATGTTCAATGCAACGTGATAGTAGTTAGTTACTGTATGTTTATGTCTCTATAATATTTCGAATATTTAGTTTTTTTGTGGGACAAAAAAATCATTTGGATCAGACTGACCTTTAGACTTAGGAACGTGATAACTGTTTTTTATCAATGATCTATCATTGATGAGTTATTATGAACCTACAGTAAGCTCTGCTCCATTCCCAGTCCCAGGCCAGACCTACCTCTGAGCCCTCAGGGCCCCGTAGCGCTGCAGGGTGGTGCGGGTGTAGCGTAGCTTCCTCTCAGGGGTCTCCTCGGGCAGCAGGGAGGGCAGGGTGGGGGCCGGGCTGCAGAAATGAGGCGCCAGGCACTCCTGGACAGCCTGTAGCTGCTGGGCTTGGGAGCGTAGGCGGGACACAAGTCTCACCTTAGTGTCCCTTAGGGCCATGATGCGACTGTTCATCTGGGTCTTCCTCTCATGGATCTGACAGACACAGAGGGACAAACAAAAATAGGATTATCCACTAACATCATCATTGTGCTAACACCAGGCAACCTCCCAACCACATTCTGTTATTTGGTCTTATCTAATATATTAGTTTGGGCGGGGGTCAGGTACAGAGGTCACCAGGTCTATTAGTGTATTACATACAGTACATTTGGTTTTGAATGGTAAAGATTGAGAGGAAGTGTAAAGTGTGAGATGTAACCTAGTACCTTCTCCTCTAGGTGGACCAGCTGAGCTCTCTTCTTCTCTGCGTTCATCCTCAGGTGTTCTGGGACCGTAAAGTCTTTGGCCGTCTTCAGCTTGAAGTCGCCCATCTTCTCCGTAGCCAATCGGATAGCTCGCACATCTTCCGGATCCTCACAGTTCTCATTGGGCTTTGCTGCGTACCTAATCAGTCACATAGAGATACAGTCATGTAGGGAAGAATGAGGACAGTGATTCTGAAATGGAGACTAAGAAACTTCAACAGAGGCCATATGATAACAGACTCACAGTTCAGCCCACTCTTTCCTCCTCTTCTCTATCTTAGCCCGGGCTCGCTCTGCCTTCTCCGTAGCCTTGCGGAGTTTCTCTGCCTGGCGGCCAGCCAGCTTGCTGCCCCCTGGACGCACCACATGGGGCGCCATAACAGCCTCCCCACCCAGGTCCTCCTGGTCCGCTGGCCAGAGACACACACATTATTTCTCTCTATCTCTATCTCTCTCTCTCTCTCTCTCTCTCTCTCTCTCTCACCTGTGATGTTGGAGCTGTCTTTGCCGACCTCAGCTTTGTTCCTCCAACGTTCCTGCCCCCCTGCCCCCGGGCCCCACACCCTTTCCCTCTGTTTCAGCTCGTGGAACCTCTGGGACATTGCCAGCAGACGATAGGTGGAGATCCTGTGGTCGCTCTGGAACGCTACCACAGTAACGGTGTCCGACTCCAGAGAATCCCAGAACCTGGAAGAGCCAGTGGGCAAATCTGAAATGTCACCCCATTCCCTAAGTGCACTACCAGGTGAGAGTGCAGGTTGAGTGGTTTCTGGTTGAGTACCTCTCCTGTAGTTTCTTGAGTCCAATGCGGTGGCGTTCCTCCTCCCAGGCCAGCTCCTTCCTGGCCTCTCGCACCCTCTGGGCCGTCATCCTCTCGGTCTCCTCACGGAACCGCCGGTCCAACTCCAGCTCCTACACACACACACACTAGATTCTCTTGGGCTGTGGCCAGAAATATGCTACAATTTATTAGGTTAATCACAGAAACATTCAAGTGCCTTTTGGTTGGTTATGATACATAAACACTGAGGGACAAAGGTGTGGATTTAGGGTGTAGGGGTGTATGGGTTTGTTTGTGTGTGTACCGTGCGGTGCAAGCGGACGTGTTCGGGCAGACCCTGGTTCTTCTCCAGTAGCTGTTTGAACTGGCTCTGCAGCTCGGCCAGCTTCTTACGTCTCTCCACCTTCCTCATCTCAGCCTCCCGACGCATACGGTCCATTTCCAACTTCTGCTTAGCCGTCTCAATGCTACAGAGAGGGAAGTGGGGGAGAGAGAGAAATAGAGGAGGGGAAGAAAGAGAGAGGGGTGTGTGACAGAGGGGGAGAGAGAGAGGGGCTGGTTTGCCTTTAGCCAGGTGTGTCTTTGTTTGTTTGTCTCTCTAGGTATCTCCCTCACCTGTATGCCGACGGGTCTTCGATATCCTGGGCCACACCCTCCATCTCAACGCCAACCTGTTTCATCAACAACACACAGTCAACCACTGAACTGGCACTCACTTGTGTTATGCATGTGTTTATTGTCCCATTCGCTTCCTCCATCCCTCTATTCTTCCCTCCCTCCCTGCCCCCCACTGACCCGTGGTGAGGGGACTTTGGCCTTGCTGCGCTGCAGGGCTTTCTGCAGGTCCTCCTGGGGCAGCAGGCTAAAGGAGAAGATGTTGCCGTCCTCCCCCGTCGTCAGGACAAACTGGTCGTCAAAGCTACAGCGCAGCTGGCGCAGCTGTCCATACTGGTTGTCATGGACGCTGAGAGCCCAGAAGGCCTGCATGGAGGTGAGGTGGAAGTCAGATGGCTGCAGAGGGTAGGCCCGGACACTGCCTGACTGCATGCCACACAGCAACAGCTGCCTGCTGGAGCTGGGACAGAGAGAGACCACAACAACCGGTCAACATATACACACATAAACAGAACATCTACAAACCTCAGCAGTTACAACATTACACAACACAGACACACTGATAATGAAAATGTTTACAGCCAGCAGTTGTGTAGTCCCCTAACCTGAAGGTGATGGTGCGGATGGGGTCCTCGTCTGTATTCTGGACAGGCAGGAAGGTGAACGGCTCATCCTGGCGCTGCAACGGGTCCTCACCCTGCTGCTCGGAAAACTTACAGTGGTACAGGAACCCCGAGTCATAACCTCCCTGAGAGAGAGCGAGAGAGAGAGCCTGGTGTTCACCCTGCTAATCCGCACACTCCACTGGCTTCCAGTCGAAGATGTATCCACTACAAGACCATGGTCCTTGCCTACGGAGCAGCAAGAGGACCTGCCTGTTCCTACCTTCAGGCTATGCTCAAACCCTACACCCCAACCTGAGTACTCCATTCTGCCATCACTGGTCTCTTGGCCCTCCTACCCCTACGGGAGGGCAGCTCCCACTCAAAGCTATTTTCTGTTCTGGCACTCCAATGATGGAACCAGCTTCCCCCTGAAGCTAGGACAGCAGAGTCCCTGCCCGTCTTCCGAAAACATCTGAAACCCTACCTCTTCAAAGAGTATCCTAAATAATCCCACAGCATTGATCATCCTTGAGATGTTTCTACAACTTGATTGGAGTCCACCTGTGGTAAATTCAATTGATTGGAAAGGCACACACCTGTCTATATAAGGTCCCACAGATGACAGTGCATGTCAGAGCAAAAACCAAGCCATGAGGTCGAAGGAATTGTCCGTAGAGCTCCGAGACAGGATTATGTCGAGGCACAGATCTGGGGAAGGGTACCAAAACATTTCTGCAGCATTGAAGGTCCCCAAGAACACAGTGGCCTCCATCATTCTTAAATGAAAGAAGTTTGGAACCACCAAGACCTCCTTCCTAGAGATGGCCGCCTCGCCAAACTGAGCAATCGGGGGAGAACAACCTTGGTCAGGGAGCTGACCAAGAACCCGATGGTCACTCTGACAGAACTCTAGAGTTCCTCTGAGGAGATGGGAGAACCTTCCAGAAGGACAACCATCTCTGCAGCACTCCACCAATTAGGCCTTTATGGTAGAGTGGCCAGACGGAAGCCACTCCTCAGTAAAAGGCACATGACAGCCCGCTTGGAGTTTGCCAAAAAGGCACCTAAAGACTCTCAGACCATGAGAAACAAGATTCTCCGGTCTGATGAAACCAAGATTGTCCTGAATGCCAAGCGTCACGTCTGGAGGAAACCTGGCACCATCCCTACGGTGAAGCATGGTGGTGGCAGCATCATGCTGTGGGGATGTTTTTCAACTGAAGGGACTGGGAGACTAGTCAGGATCGAGGCAAAGATGAACAGAGCAAATTGCAGAGAGATCCTTGATGAAAACCTGCTCCAGAGTGCTCAGGACCTCAGACTGGGGCGAAGGTTCACCTTCCAACAGGACAACAACCCTAAGCACACAGCCAAGACAACGCAGGAGTGGCTTCGGGACAAGTCTCTGAATGTCCTTGAGGGGCCCAGCCAGAGCCCAGACTTGAACCCGATCAAACATCTCTGGAGAGAGCTGAAAATAGCTGTGCAGCGATGCTCCCCATCGAACCTGACAGAGCTTGAGAGGATCTGCAGAGAAGAATGGGAGAAACTCCCCAAATACAAGTGCGCCAAGCTTGTAGCTTCATACCCAAGAAGACTCGATGCTGTAATTGCTGCCAAAGGTGCTTCAACAAAGTACTGAGTAAAGGGTCTGAATACTTATGTAAATGTAATATTTCCTTTTTTTGGGGGGCAAACATTTCTAAAAACCTGTTTTTGCTTTGTCATTATGGAGTACTGTGTGTAGATTGATGAGGGAAAAAAACAATTGAATCAATTTTTGAATACGGCTGTAACGTAACAAAATGTGGAAAAAGTCAAGGGATCTGAAGGCACGGTATGTGGTTGTCCCACCTAGCTATCTTAAGATGAATGCACTAACTGTAAGTCCCTCTGGATAAGAGGATCTGCTAAATTACCAAAATGTAAATGTGAAATGTAGAGGGAGAGAGCGAGAGAGAGATGGCCCCGGTTAATGTGTGTGTGTGTGTGTGTGTGTGTGTGTGTGTGTGCGCGTGTGTGTACCATGGAGAGCCAGAAGGCCCCGGGTTGAGAGTAGAAGCCACAGCAGAGGGGGCTGGGGGGGTCGGGGGTGTAAAGAGGGGGCAGCTCTTCCTTTTCCTCCTCCTCTACCTCCTGCAGCTCCTCCTCAGTGGGCTCAAGGCCCTCCTCCTTGGCTTTCTTCAGCTGCGCCTCCCTCTCCTTCTGCCTCTTCTCCTTCAGAGCCTGCCTGCGCGCAATCTCCTCCTCCCGCTGAAATACACACACTCACAATTACACACCCATGCCGGAGTTGAACCAAAAGAGCTGTACACAAAGCAGATAACAGATATAATGTGAGCGTGCTTTTGTACGTTTCCTATTAGGCATGCTTCTGTGTAAACTGTGTTTTGTATCTAGACAGCTTTTATGTGATGTGTATGTTTTATTGATTCCATGGAACCCATGACTCCCTGCAACGTGTTACTGAGTGGACTATCCTGGATTAATATATAAAATGAAACGTGTTTACAGTACAGTTGATCTCAGACAGTGAGGGCCAGACCTTGATGTGTGACTTGATGCTGCTGAAGGTGAAGTGTCTTGTGGGAAGGCCAGAGATGTGGTAGGTGGTGCCATGGTTCTGGGCCTCCGGGTCTGGAGACTGGACCTCCACTACATGACCACTCTTACACAGGACCAGCAGGGTGTTGTTGTCCTGAACACACACGCACATATATACACACACACATACACACAGAAGAAGGGTTCTAACTTATTAACCTCATGTGCCATTGCCTTGCGTACATTTCTGACTGATCTGGGATCAGACTTACATGTGACTGGGGCGACCACTCCAGCCCCTGTACAGGTCCTGGTACTGTGACAAAGCCGATGGGGTCGTACCTGTCCCCCACAGTGAAGAAGAACACAGTGCAGTCCATACTCTAGAGAGGGAAAGAGGGAAGGAGGGATGGTGGAGGGGAGAGGATTATTGATATTTGTTATTATACCCATCCAGTTTGCTTTAGGTCTACAAGGGGAGTGTCTACAGAAAGGAGCTAATGATTGATTTCACATTGGCTAATAGTCTGCGGCCCTCCCTACCCCAGTAGCTAGGATCTCTCCGTTGCGTTCGTATGCAATGGCCGTCACAGGTGCATTGTGGGGTTTGAAGGCCTGTTTGAGACGGAGCTCGGCGTGTCCATAGCGACTGCGCCCGGCAACCACCCGTAAACTCTGGGGGTTGTAGAGCTCCAGCAGACGGACCACCCCGTCCTCAAAGCCCACCACCACCAGCCCTCCGCTAGGGTTCACCTATACACACAGGCAAGGGCCACACAGAACAATCTCAACGCACAGTAACCTACACAGATAAGCAAAGCACGTTGAGACCTAAAGACAACAAGGCACTACATAAATGATTATGTTACCATATACAGTGCATTCGGAAAGTATTCAGACCCCTTGACTTTTTCCACATTTTGTTACATTACAGCCTTATTCTAAAATGGATTAAATACTTTTTTCCCCTTATCAATCTACACACAATACCCCATAATGACAAAGCAAAAACAGGTTTTTAGAAATGTGTGCAAATGTATTACAAATAAAAAACAGAAATACCTTATTTACATAAATATTCAGACCCTTTGCTATGAGACTTGAAATTGAGCTTGGGTACATCCTGTTTCCATTGATCATCCTTAAGATATTTCTACAACTTGATTGGAGTCCACCTGTGGAAATCCTACATTTACATAAGTATTCAGACCCTTTACTCAGTACTTTGTTGAAGCACCTTTGGCAGTGATTACAGCCTTGAGTCTTGGGTATGACACTACAAGCTTGGCACACCTGTATTTGGGGAGTTTCTCCCATTCTTCTCTGCAGATCCTCTCAAGCTCTGTCAGGTTGGATGGGGAGCGTCGCTGCACAGCTATTTTCAGGTCTCTCCAGAAATGTTAGATCGGGTTCAAGTCCAGGCTCTGGCTGGGCCACTCAAGGACATTCAGAGACTTGTCCCGAAGCCACTCCTGCGTTGTCTTGGCTGTGTGCTTAGGGTCGCTGTCCTGTTGGAAGGTAAACCTTCGCCCCAGTCTGAGGTCCTGAGCGGTCTGGAGCAGGTTTTCATCAAGGATCTCTCTGTACTTTGCTCCGTTCATCTTTCCCTCGATCCTGACTAGTCTCCCAGTGCCTGCCGCTGCTTCACCGTAGGGATGGTGACAGGTTTCCTCCAGACGTGACGCTTGGCATTCATCAAGTGCCTTTTACTGAGGAGTGGCTTCCATCTGGCCACTCTACCATAAAGGCCTGATTGGTGGAGTGCTGCAGAGATGGTTGTCCTTCTGGAAGGTTCTCCCATCTCCACAGAGGAACTCTGGAGCTCTGTCATAGTGACCATCAGGTTATTGGTCACCTCCCTGACCAAGGCCCTTCTCCCCCGATTGCTCAGTTTGGCTGGGCGGCCAGCTCTAGGAAGTGTCTTGGTGGTTCCAAACTTCTTCCATTTAAGAATGGAGGCCACTGTGTTCTTGGGGACCTTCAATGCTGTAGAAATGTTTTGGTACCTTTCCCCAGATCTGTGCCTCGACATAATCCAGCTGTACTGACAATTCGTTCGACCTCATGGCTTGGTTTTTGCTCTGACATGCACTGTCAACTGTGGGACCTTATATAGACAGGTGTGTGCCTTTCCAAATCATGTCCAATCAATTGAATGTACCACAGGTGGACTCCAATTAAGTTGTTGAAACATCTCAAGGATGATCAATGGAAACAGGATGCACCTGAGCTCAATTTCGAATCTCATAGCAAAGGGTCTGAATACTTATGTAAATAAGGTATTTGTTATTTCTAAAAAACTGTTTTCAATTTGTCATTATGGGGTATTGTGTGTAGATTGATGATTTTTTATTTAATCAATTTTAGAATAAGGCTGTAACGTAACAAAGTGGAAAAAGTCAAGGGGTCTGAATACTTTCCGAATGCACTGTAGTCAAGTCTCACATACATACCAGGCGTGGCGCCCAGGTCAGTGTTGTTCCACCTTGTTTGTAGCGGCTGGTTGTTAGTTCTTTCTTCGCAAGGAAGTCAAAAATCCTGACTGAGCCTGAGAAAGAGAGGAAGAAAGAGAGTGTGTTTGGAACAAATTGACAAAAAAAATGATGCGTTTCTATAATCTGGGCTGTGTGTGAAGTAGTGTACAGTGATAGGTGTCTCTCACGGTCTAAAGCGGTGGTGGCCATCAGATGGCTGGTGCTGGACACATCCATTCCCTGGATCACTCCAGCATGGAAGGAGAACAGACACTCTGGGTCCTGGGTCTGCACACACAATATAATGGAGTCATTTAATACAAGACCCAATACAGACAGTCCCACACACACACTCAAACACTGTGCTGATGGAAAGTGCAACTCACAATGTTGGAAAATGAAAGATCCAGTTTCCAGATGCCTCCATTGGAATCCTGAGAAGAGATACATTTGACACGCTATTTAATTTAAAAAAAAGTATTGTTTCCCAAACTTGATGATGGTTGTAGGACTTTAGGGTAAGTGTTGTTGTATGACCCTTGAAAATGATGGTTGTAGGACTTTAGGGTAAGTGTTGTTGTATGACCCTTGACCCCTGCCCTCTGACCTGGGCGAACCAGATGAAGGAGTCTGGCAGGCAGCTTTTGACCATGGAGGACAGGCTGACGTTGCGTCCGATTACCATCTCGTTCATGGGCTCAATCTCAAACAGACCCCTGTCATCGTTACAGTCTGCCGTGTCAATGCTCTCAAAGTCCCAGCCCTGCACGGTGTGGAGAAAGATATTACACAGCGAGCAAACAACTAAACTGTCCCCAGATCAGTTGTTCAGGCCTGCATTTTAGGGTTAGCAGAGACCACTTAGACTGAGGCTGAGAGGACTGTATAGTATCTGAAAGGTTACCCTAATGGCTCCGTCGGTGCCGATGGTCATGAGCTCCCCCTCATCCAAAGCAAACTGCTGGATGGTGCCAGCGTGGCACGTCCTGCCCCCCTTACGGCATATCTCCACCTTAATCAGGCCCCCGTCCCACAGCAGCATGTTTCCCCACTCAGACCCCGACACTACCTGGCACCCAGACAGAAGGGATGTCATCAGGACAACATAGAACAAGAGAAAATAGAATATTGCTTTGGGTTCGGGTCAATTTCAATGATGTATGAATAGCAGGAATTGAATGATAAAAGCAGTGGACAGACCTTCCCATCGGGCAGCTCCACATAACCCTCGATATCTGTGAGGGCAGTCTTCCCAAACCTTCCCAGAAGCCCTTGCAGTTTGAGACCAGTAAAAGTGCTGGCCATTTTCCAAAACCTGGAAGAATGATTGAAAAGAGATCAACTCACATGGTGTATGACACTGTACACATAATACACAATTTTTGTATTTGTTGTCAATATTTCATTTTGAAATCTGTTTTCTCTCCACCCAGCTTTCTATAAAGCACTTTGTGACAAATGTATAAAAGTGCTAGTACGAATACATTTTGATCAATTGATTGCTACTAACTTGATGTGTCCTGATCCGGAGGTGGTGAGTAGCCCAGGATTGTCAGGTGAGAAGGTGACCCTGTAGACGTCCTGTGAGAAGGCCTTGCAGCGCAGCATCACCTGTTCATGTCTCCATTCCCACAAGGTCAGCATGTAGTCCGGAGCACTACCCACACTGGCCAGCAGGGTGCCCTCACGGTTAAAGTCCACAAAGCTATATGCCTGCCCTGTCCCACCTAATGGGCAGGGATTCAAACCAAATGTCTTGATCATTGATCATATTCTTTATACATTGTTTGAAAAAAAAAATTCAACACCATAATGGGTGTGCGTGCCTGTGTGCATGTTGTACAGTTTCCATACCTCTGAGAATGCGGTAGGGTCGTAATGAGGGATACTCATAGATGACGATGTTGGGCTGGTCTCCCTTCTCTGCCACAGCAAAATACCTATTACTGGGGTGGGCCTGCAGAGAAACACAGTTACAGATGGGGTTATAAATGAGGGTGTATCAAGGTTATCCAGGGCCAGTGTTTGTGTGTGTGTGTACCATGACGGCGCCGATGCCTCCCCCACTGCAGGAGCGGAGGTAGCGTTGCTCCTTGGTCCGGACGTCCAGGAATATGAGCAGGTTTCCAGCCACGAAGGCCAGCGTTCGCTCATCCAGCAGCTGCAGGTTGGCTCTGCGCCCACAGTCATACCCAAAAGAGTGACTGGAAGAATGTTAAGGTGCAACGCAAAAGCAACGCAATACACAAACATAATATCATGAACATGACTGGGTTGTGTAGACTTCTACGCAGAAACTCTGGCACATGGCATACACAGTGTTAAAAGATACGTAAGGTGCAGCAGGTTCTCTGGGATCTCCGAGTCTGCAGTGATGACTGGTCTGGAGTACAGCTCATCATAGTTGTAGTACATGTCCTCAGGGAGTTTCTTCATCCCCGTTCGCTCCTCCTCTTCCTCCACAGCATCACTACTCCCACCTGGCTGCTGCTGCACCTGCTCAGAGGCTGCATGAGCTGAAAAGAAAGATTGCTGTCACTCATCAGGCCATGGTCGAGATGTAGGCACACCATAGTGAAACATTTTGCCATGAAAAAAAAATCTGTGTTCTTATTGTACAAGTTCCGGTAGTTACCTCCCTGTTTCTAAATGGTTTCTACCTACTGTACACGACCCAGCTCTCTCATGAGGGAGCTACCTACAGTGGGGGAAAAAGTATTTAGTCAGCCAACAATTGTGCAAGTTCTCCCACTTAAAAAGATGAGAGAGGCCTGTAATTTTCATTATAGGTACACGTCAACTATGACAGACAAATTGAGGGAAAAAAATCCAGAAAATCACATTGTAGGATTTTTAATGAATTTATTTGCAAATTATGGTGGAAAATAAGTATTTGGTCACCTACAAACAAGCAAGATTTATGGCTCTCACAGACCTGTAACTTTTTCTTTAAGAGGCTCCTCTGTCCTCCACTCGTTACCTGTATTAATGGCACCTGTTTGAACTTGTTATCAGTATAAAAGACACCTGTCCACAACCTCAAACAGTCACACTCCAAACTCCACTATGGCCAAGACTAAAGAGCTGTCAAAGGACACCAGAAACAAAATTGTAGACCTGCACCAGGCTGGGAAGACTGAATCTGCAATAGGTAAGCAGCTTGGTTTGAAGAAATCAACTGTGGGAGCAATTATTAGGAAATGGAAGACATACAAGTCCACTGATAATCTCCCTCGATCTGGGGCTCCACGCAAGATCTCACCCCGTGGGGTCAAAATGATCACAAGAACGGTGAGCAAAAATCCCAGAACCACACGGGGGGACCTAGTGAATGACCTGCAGAGAGCTGGGACCAAAGTAACAAAGCCTACCATCAGTAACACACTACGCCGCCAGGGACTCAAATCCTGCAGTGCCAGACATGTCCCCCTGCTTAAGCCAGTACATGTCCAGGCCCGTCTGAAGATTGCTAGAGTGAATTTGGATGATCCAGAAGAGGATTGGGAGAATGTCATATTGTCAGATGAAACCAAAATATAACTTTTTGGTAAAAACTCAACTCGTTGTGTTTGGAGGACAAAGAATGCTGAGTTGCATCCAAAGAACACCATACCTACTGTGAAGCATGGGGGTGGAAACATCATGCTTTGAGGCTGTTTTTCTGCAAAGGGACCAGGACGACTGATCCGTGTAAAGGAAAGAATGAATGGGGCCATGTATCGTGAGATTTTGAGTGAAAACCTCCTTCCATCAGCAAGGGCATTGAAGATGAAACGTGGCTGGGTCTTTCAGCATGACAATGATCCCAAACACACCGCCCGGGCAACGAAGGAGTGGCTTCGTAAGAAGCATTTCAAGGTCCTGGAGTGGCCTAGCCAGTCTCCAGATCTCAACCCCATAGAAAATCTTTGGAGGGAGTTGAAAGTCCGTGTTGCCCAGCGACAGCCCCAAAACATCACTGCTCTAGAGGAGATCTGCATGGAGGAATGGGCCAAAATACCAGCAACAGTGTGTGAAAACCTTGTGAAGACTTACAGAAAACGTTTGACCTGTGTCATTGCCAACAAAGGGTATATAACAAAGTATTGAGAAACTTTTGTTATTGACCAAATAATTATTTTCCACCATAATTTGCAAATAAATTCATTAAAAATCCTACAATGTGATTTTGTCTGTCATAGTTGACGTGTACCTATGATGAAAATTACAGGCCTCTCTCATCTTTTTAAGTGTGAGAACTTGCACAATTGGTGGCTGACTAAATACTTTTTTTCCCCACTGTATGTGTGGACTCTAGACAGAAAGGTCATAAAAAGAGCACTACTACCCTGAGCTTTGTCTTGTGAAGGGTCCTCTGCTTGTGTATGTGCTTCCTGTGCACCTGCTGATGGGGAAGTTGTGTTGTTCTCTGGAGGTGGCTGAACATTTTCACTTTCCGTTTCCCCAGAAGGTTCCTGCTTTCCTGTGGGGTCACCTGTTATAAGGAAATTATCAGAAAGATTCAGTGCATCAAAAAGGCAAATAGGCCTTGTTAAACACTTCCAAGAAGAGGCTGAAGTTTATTGACAGTTTGCAGACCAAATGTCTTATGTCGACAGGAGTTTTATTTCTATTGACAGTTTGTAACATATAATGCAAATATGCATATACACTTCATTTAAATGAATGAGCTACAATAATTGAATGTCACCCTAACGTAAACTGCAGCTAGCAAACAAGCTAGCTAGCTAGAATTGCTCATTCCTTTGACCCCAGCTAGTACTTTCCATCGTCGTTATGATTGGGTAAATAACTAAATGTGTCTTTGATTGTACCTATTAATTTCAAAATTCAGTGACCGTAGTCTAAATGTATAATTAGTTAAGCTGTGAACTTATATATATTACCTTGTAAATTGTCTTCATCTGTCTGTTTCTCAGAAGAGTCCATCTTTGTTTGGCGTTGACTCGTTGCCGGGCAACCATGGGACTTTGTAATCGCAAAGCATGCTGGTTATGTAGTCACCCACTCCCACTGAAGCTTTGGGACACGTTCAGGTATGAAGTTTACTCAGAATATGTTAATAAATAAATCAGATAGTCTTACATTCAAAAAATCACTTTGTTTTTGGTCCATTGTTTTTGTTCCATTTCATTTAGTTTTTAAAGATCACATTTTACAGTAATTAAGTCATAAAAGAGAAAGTTTTGATTAATAAGTAGCATTAGGCTTACACGTTTGACAGGACTATAGATGTATATACTACATTGAGAGAATAATCATAATGAACAAAAAAGTAAAATAAAAAACGTATTAAGAACAAAACTTAAAGGTCCAATGCAGCTGTTTTTATCTCAATATCAAATCATTTCTGTGTAACTTTTATTGTGATTGTTTTAAATTAAAATGGTCAGAAATAAACAAAAATAGCTTCTTGGCAAAGAGCAATGTCTCAAGCAATAATTTTTCTAGGACTGTCTAGGAGTGGTCTGAGTGGGGAGGGGAAAACTGAAAACTAGCTGTTATTGGCAGAGGTTTGGAACTCTCTTTCTTATTGGTCTATTAAAGGCCCTGTGCAGTCAAATTTGATTTTCCTGTGTTTAATACACTGAGTGCACAAAAGATTATGAGCACCTGCTCTTTCCATGACAAACTGCCAGGTGAATCCAGGTGAAAGCAATGATCCCTTATTGATGTCACTTGTTAAATCCACTTCAATCAGTGTAGATGAAGGGGAGGAGACAGGTTAACTCTTAAATGTAATGGCAAAAATGTAGATTTCCGCCTAAATAGACGTAACTGCTATTCATGTGTAATTTCATGATTCTGACATGCAAAAACATGGTATATTTGGAAAGAAGACATCAGGGAGATTATGAGGACATGATCAGAAGATATATAGGAGTTACATAGTTGAAGAATACACAAGATCAAGCACACACAAAATAACTTTTTTTATTTTGAAAGTCATCTTTCATTGACAAGCTATGAGTGAATTATTGATGACTAGAGCTGGAAACACATCAGATGGCTTCCACAACATGTGAACAATATCAGAAAAATAAAATGGGATTGATGGACCTAACAACTAGAAATGGGCAGATGTTTTAGTAAGTGGTGTCAGGTGTGGTCACGGGACATTTCCAAGTGTCCCTAAACCTCTCCAAAGTGGCATATGTCTGTAAATTAGATAATTCCAGTGCTATTACATATTTACAATCCCTAAATGCTATTTGTTCAGTATAAAAACACAATTTCTACCATATCAACCTCACGCAAACTTTGTGATGGTGTTATGGGGTATCCAGGGTACATTCAAGTGTCCTTTCATCCTCTCCGAAGTGTCCAAATGTGGTAATCGCACTGTTTTTGCACACTGGGTGTGCCTAAAAGTTATTGTTCACTATAAAAACTAAATTTCAACAACACCAAACTCTCTCAAACATTGTGGTGGTGTCGGGGTACATACAGGGGATATGGATGCCTACAGTGCGTAAGCAGACATCATATTTTTGATGCGCAAAGATAGTCACTCGGTGGACATTCGATGTTGCCATTAAGTCATACATCATCAGATAACATTGGCAATAGGCTAGATTTGTTCCTACCAACCTAAGGATACATGTGATACCCCCCAATGTAGCTATAGCTTAAACACAGACCAAATTGAAGCTTACCTTGTAAGATGTTTGCTGTTTGGTGAAAACGTTGTGTAAAATAAACATTTTGACTCTCGGGGCTGGTAATCAATAACGGTAGGTCACAGGCAGACAAATAAGATATCCTCATGATCTGTGGAGTCCCGGCTTTCGGTGTGTGTCAACGTATTCTGTGTTTATTTAGTTTATGCTTCACAACGCTAACCGGAATGTAGGTAGCAGCCATCTTGAAATGAGGTAATCGGCTCGGCCCAGTGTTGCCAACTCCTCAGTAAGGAAAGTAGCTATTGGCTGACCTAAAAGTCGCTAAATGACGTCATCACATCATTTGCATAATTGGCCATGTGCATGTAATTGTGATGGATGCTGTAGGAGAGAGGAATAACGTTGTGGGAGAGACAAAAAGTGAGTAAAAACACCCTACATTTACATCCCGCCCTGAATGTAAGCCAGAGCGGGATCAGCCAGCGGCGGCTTCCCGCATGCACGATTCATTTGCAGTCTGGACGCGGAGAGGTGAACATCTCCTGCTCTGACTGCAGCTGGGAGGGACTGCTGCACGAGGACTGGGCCGCCTATGAGTGCTTTGGGACGGGGGTGGGGCCCAGGGTGGGGCCCACGGCAGCACCCGCTGCTCGTTGAGAAAAGTAAGAACGATACGTGCTTTCACGTCAGTCTCCAAAAGTCTCCAATAACACCAGAAAAAGTCGCTAAATTTGTCGCTATGATTTTTAAGCCTTGAGACAATTGAGACATGGATTGTGTATATGTGCCATTCAAAAGGTGAAATGTGCCTTTGAACGGGGTATGGTAGTAGGTGCCAGGCGCCCAGGTTTGAGTGTGTCAAGAGATGCAACACTGCTGGGTTTTTCATGCTCAACAGTTTAATGCGTGTATCAAGAATGGTCCACCACCCAAAGGACATCCAGCCAACTTGACACAACTGTGGGAAGCATTGGAGTCAACATGGTTCAGCATCCCTGTGGAACGCTTTCGACACCTTGTAGAGTCAATGCCCCAATGAATTGAAGCTGTTCTGAGGGCAAAGGGGAGTGCAACTCAATATTAGGAAGTTGTTCCTAATGTTTTGTGCACTAAGTGTATATATTTCCACACTATGAGGTTGGAATAATACTCTGAAATTGTGAAAATTATGATGATGCCCTTTTAGTGTAAGTGCTGCCGGCCAAATGACACCAGGCAGGCCAAAACTCTATTCCACCAAAACAGGCTGAAATTTCAGGTCTTTTCAAACAACTCTTCCACTAAAAATGTTCACAATTTCACAGTATTATTCTAACCTCATAGTGTGTAAATGTATATATAACACAGGAAAATCACGTTGACTGCATGGGACGCAATATCCTGACAGATGATTCCAAACCAACCCCAAACCCAGGATAGAGGGGTTCAGTGAATGTTTTATGCACTCTGTGGAGGAGGGTCACTTTTTTAGAAACGCTGTAGAAGGACAGAGTTCCTGCCTTGTAGTCCAGGTACACTCCTACTCTGGAGGTGCAACGGGATCGTATTTTAGTCTTAACATTATCATGAAGGAAAGAACAACTGGTGGGAGAGCATTCTAAACTCCAAGACTGATCATTACCTCCAAACCTACACTCATTACCCTCTCCTTTCCTCCCAAGAGCCACATATGAGACTGCCACAGCAATCCAGCCTCGAAGTTCAGCCTCCCAGTAGCAGTTTCCAGATAAACCCTCTCTACACAGCACTTGGTCATAGTGGGTAAATCTGTCTGGATGATCAGGATAGGCTTGAGTCTCCCCTTCACTCCATGTCACCTTGCTGTTCTTCTCAGACAGATGCAGTGTTCCACATGCTGTGTTAGGATCCACTGTGAGTTGGCAGGGATCTGAGAGAGTTGAAAAAAATTATAATATATATACACTACCGGTCAAAAGTTTTAGAACACCTACTCTTTCAAGGGTTTTTCTTTATTTTTACTATTGTCTACATTGTAGAATAATAGTGAAGACATCAAAACTATAAAATAACACATATGGAATCATGTAGTAACCAAAAAAGTGTTAAACAAATGTGAGATTCTTCAAATAGCCACCCTTTGCCTTGATGACAGCTTTGCACACTCTTGGCACTCTCTCAACCAGCTTCACCTGGAATGCTTTTCCAACAGTCTTGAAGGAGTTCCCTCATATGCTGAGCACTTGTTGGCTGCTTTTCCTTCACTCTGCGGTCCAACTCATCCCAAACCATCTCAATTTGGTTGAGGTCGGGGGATTGTGGAGGCCAGGTCATCTGATGCAGCACTCAATCACTCTCCTTCTTGGTAAAATAGCCCTTACACAGCCTGGAGGTGTGTTGGGTCATTGTCTTGTTGAAAAACACATGATAGTCCCACTAAGCCCAAACCAGATGGGATGGCATATCGCTAAAGAATGCTGTGGTAGCCATGCTGGTTAAGTGTGCCTTGAATTCTAAATAAATCATAGACAGTGTCACCAGCAAAGCACCCCACACCATAACACCTCCTCCTCCATGCTTTACGGTGGGAAATACACATGTGGAGATCATCCGCTCACTCACACCGCGTCTCACAAAGCACAGACAGTGTCACCAGCAAAGCACCCCACACCATAACACCTCCTCCTCCATGCTTTACGGTGGGAAATACACATGTGGAGATCATCCGTTCACCCACACCGCGTCTCACAAAGACACGGCGGTTGGAACCAAAAATCTCCAATTTGGACTCCAGACCAAAGGACAAGTTTCCTCCGGTCTAATGTCCATTGCTCGTGTTTCTTGGCCCAAGCAAGTCTCTTATTATTATTGGTGTCCTTTAGTAGTGGTTTATTTGCAGCAATTCGACCATGAAGGCCTGATTCACACTGCCTCCTCTGAACAGTTGATGTTGAGATGTGTCTCTTACTTGAACTATGTGAAGCATTTATTTGGGCTGCAATTTCTGAGGCTGGTAACTCTAATGAACTTATCCTCTGCAGCAGAGGTAACTCTGGGTCTTCCATTCCTGTGGCGGTCCTCATGAGAGCCAGTTTCATCATAGTGCTTGATGGTTTTGCGACTGCACTTGAAGAAACTTTCTAAGTTCTTGAAATGTTCCGTATTGACTAACCTTCATGTCTTAAAGTAATGATGGACTGTTGTTTCTCTTTGCTTATTTGAGGTGTTCTTGCCATAATATGGACTTGGTCTTTTACCAAATAGGGCTATCTTCTGTATACCCACATTACCTTGTCACAACACAACTGATTGGCTCAAACGCATTAAGAATGAAAGAAATTCCATAAATGTACTTTTAACAAGGCACACCTGTTAATTGAAATGCATTCCAGGTGACTACCTCATGAAGCTGGTTGAGAGAATGCCAAGAGTGTGCAAAGCTGTCATAATAATAATCATCATCATCATCAAGGCAAAGGGTGGCTATTTGAAGAACCTCAAATATAACATATTTTGATTTTTTTAACACTTTTTTGGTTACTACATGATTCCATATGTGTTATTTCATAGTTTATGTCATCTTCACTATTATTCTACAATGTAGAAAATTGTAAAAATAAAGACAAATCCTTGAATGAGTAGGTGTTCTAAAACTTTTGACCGCTAGTGTATATATATATATATATATATATATATACTTACATTGTGTGTGTGTGTGTGTGTGTGTGTGTGCGTGTGTGTGTGTGTAGGTGCATGCGTAGGTGCACGTGTGCTCATGATGTGGGCAGTATGAGAAACATACTGTGACTCACATTCTAAGAACTCCTCTCTGGTCTTGGGCTCCAGAGGTCGAACAATTTGCACTTTCATCACTATGGACACACAAACGTACGAAATGTAACTACTACTCAGTCATTTCTTGTGTGATCTTCATAAAAACATAGGCCTACTCTTTGCCTTACCATTTTCAGACATCTTGACTATTTCCTCCTTGCAGATATCATCCAGTTGCACTTTCAGTCCAGAAACCAATTTCTTCACACGTTCAAAAGAAATGTGTGGATTGAAAGAGGGGCTGGGTAGGGCCTCAGAACCAGGAGGGACGGCGAGTGACTGGAAACTCTACAGTGGAAACAGACAATAAAATAACTAAGAAGTCTAGAGACAGTTTCACTTAGATGGCAACTTAGGAACTATGTGTACAGTGTAGGTACGAAGGCATTGATGTCACCTGAAGGAAATGGATGTGATCCTCTGTGTTTGATAGCTGCTCGAGCTCAGCATCTCTCCTCTTCATCTCAGCGACTTCCCGATCTAGCCGCACCAGGAGTCCCTGAACCCGACTCACTGCAATCTTCTCCTGAGCTCTGATCAGCTCCTTCACCTCAGAACGCCTTCGCTCAATGGAGCGGATCAGCTCAATAAAGATCCTATCACTTTCATCCACTGTCACCTGTGCAGAGCGCTGTTAAGGTAGAGAAAATAGGGTGTATTTCAACCAGCCACTCACCTCTCACCAGGACCCCAGAAAGCTTGTTCCCAACTGGGTCTCAGTGGGATTGGAATGTGGCCCACTGCTCCTTATTGGGCTCCTCACTGATTGACTGCAGGGTCAGGAGAGCCCTGACTGACATGTTAGTGGCCAAGTGCCCTGGAACAAGCTTCGGCTGGTAAAGACTAGACCCCAAAAGATTTGCAGATGCTCCATACAAATTGGTTAGATATAGAGAGTAGTAGAATAAATAGACAAAACTCACCGTGAGTGTTTTCATAGCCTGCCTAAGCTCCTGTACCTCCTTCTCCATCTCCTGGATTCTCTGCTGGTACTGCTGCTGTATTTTCCCCAACTGTTTCTGTGTAGATGACAAATCATATTCCACTAGTTTAATTTGTGATTGTAGCTAGGTTTCCATCCAATTGGCGACAGATTTTCATGTGAATATAAAAAAAAATCTGCATAAAAACAATATGCTAATTTTCCCACCAGAAATGTTTCCATCAAATTGATTTGTTGCAGATAAAAGGCTGTGCGTGATGACAGTGCCCATAAAAATACCCTTTGCGGTTAAATTCCCATGTACCGAATAAAAAATAAAAAGTGAAATGGGTTTCTATCGCATTTTCAACTCTACTTATGGTTTTCTCACAAGAACATGTTGCGTTATATAGAGCACATATAAACTCAACTGCGTTTATTTTCAGCAAACTTAACATGTGTAAATATTTGTATGAACATAACAAGATTTAACAACTGAGACATAAACTGAACAAGTTCCACAGACATGTGACTAACAGAAATTGAATAATGTGTCCCTGAACAAAGGGGGGGGTCAAAAGTAACAGTCAGTATCTGGTGTGGCCACCAGCTGCATTAAGTACTGCAGTGCATCTCCTCCTCATGGACTGCACCAGATTTGCCAGTTCTTGCTGTGAGATGTTACCCCACTCTTCCACCAAGGGGGAATGGCCCTAGCCCTCACCCTCCGATCCAACAGGTCCCAGACGTGCTCAATGGGATTGAGATCCGGGCTCTTCGCTGACCATGGCAGCACAGAACGAGCAGTATGGCTGGTGGCATTGTCATGCTGGAGGGTCATGTCAGGATGAGCCTGCAGGAAGGGTACCACATGAGGGAGGAGGATGTCTTCCCTGTAACGCACAGCGTTGAGATTGCCTGCAATGACAAAAAGCTCAGTCCGATGATGCTGTGACACACCGCCCCAGACCATGACAGACCCTCCACCTCCAAATCGATCCCGCTCCAGAGTACAGGCCTCGGTGTAACGCTCATTCCTTCGACGATAAACGCGAATCCGACCATCACCCCTGGTGAGACAAAACCGCGACTCGTCAGTGAAGAGCACTTTTTGCCAGTCTTGTATGGTCCAGCGACGGTGGGTTTGTGCCCATAGGCGACGTTGTTGCCGGTGACGTCTGGTGAGGACCTGCCTTACAACAGGCCTTCAAGCCCTCAGTCCAGCCTCTCTCAGCCTATTGCGGACAGTCTGAGCACTGATGGAGGGATTGTGCGTTCCTGGTGTAACTCGGGCAGTTGTTGTTAGCATCCTGTACCTGTCCCGCAGGTGTGATGTTCGGATGTACCGATCCTGTGCAGGTGTTGTTACACATGGTCTGCCACTGTGAGGACGATCAGCTGTCCGTCCTGTCTCCCTGTAGCGCTGTCTTAGGCGCCTCACAGTACGGACATTGCAATTTATTGCCCTGGCCACATCTGCAGTCCTCATGCCTCCTTGCAGCATGCCTAAGGCACGTTCACGCAGATGAGCAGGGACCCTGGGCATCTTTCTTTTGGTGTTTTTCAGAGTCATTAGAAAGGCCTCTTTAGTGTCCTAAGTTTTCATAACTGTGACCTTAATTGCCTACTGTCTGTAAGCTGTTATTGTCTTAACGACCGTTCCACAGGTGCATGTTCATTCATTGTTTATGGTTCATTGAACAAGCTTGGGAAACAGTGTTTAAACCATTTCCAATGAAGATCCGTGAAGTTATTTTAAGTTTTACAAATTATCTTTGAAAGACAGGGTCCTGAAAAAGAGACTTTTCTTTTTTTGCTGAGTTTATATATAATAATATAAATAATATGCCATTTAGCAGACGCTTTTATCCAAAGCGACTTACAGTCATGCGTGCATACATTTTTGTGTATGGGTGGTCCCGGGGATCGAACCCACTACCTTGGCGTTACAAGTGCCGTGCTCTACCAGCTGAGCTAGAGGACCACATAACCTGCATGAGATTATTATGGCCAGAAGAGCGAAATCATTTTTATTTGTCAAACGGCAGCCAAGCATTGATGATCATGTCACCAGAATAAGACCCTTGATATTTATTGGAAAAGAGCATCAAGCTCAGCCCCTTCCACTTTGACCAGACTGTGAAGTTCATCATAATTGATTTCATCTGTAGCCTAATAAACGGCATGCTTTCCCAATTAGTCATAGTGGGAGGACCACACAACATGTCATCGCGTGACTCCAAGTTTACTTTGATATGATGGTTATTTTATCAACATTTGCGCATAAGAGTTTCCGCAGACATTTCTCGCATAATTCATTTTACCGACACAAACGATCCCACCTTGTGTAGCGTATTTTGTTTTGTCGACATTTGGAAAGTTTACCTGAAAAAGTAGTTTCCATCAGGCCTGTCATTACATGTTTTATCCGACATGTGGGCCTACTTCACTCGCATATTAAGGTTGGATGAAAACCTGGTTTATAGACAGATTTTAATGCGAATATTCTAAAATCCGCATAAAGAAAAATGCAAATTTTCCCTCCAGTGGTTTCCACCAAACTGACTTGTTGCGGAGAAAAATCAGACCGTGATGACGTAGTGCACACAAAATGTAATTTTTCGCTTACATTTTCGTGTACCGAATAAAAATCTAACGTTTAATGTGTTTCCATCACATTTTCAACTCTACCGATATTTTTGTCACAATAACTGTTGCGCTAAATAGCAAACGTGCCTACTCTTGTCTTGGCACATGTACTCTAGTCTTGGTACATGCGCTCTAGCCAACAGCTCCTGCAGGTAGGCTACTTCTTCTTCTCCTTCTTCGATGGGGTTTATCGGTGGTTGGCAACCAACGATATGGTGCATTACCACCACCTACTGTACTTCAGTGTGGGCCAGAGACAGGGAGAAACTAAATCCTTCCTACCAGGCCCAATGATCTTAAAAAAGATAACAAAATATTTGAGACTATACTTTTATAATTAATTTCCTGTATTCCCTTCTCCCTCATACTAGATCTCAGCCTCTCTCTTTTCCTCTGATACTGCCCACACTGTAGCAATACATGCTCCACGGTCTCTGTTTCCTGGCAATAATCACACTTTCCTGTTGGATGCTTTCCTATCACATTTAAAGTCTTATTCAACCTTGACTATTTGCATTGCCCCACCCACCGACATTTTACGCTGCTGCTACTACTCTGTTTATTATTTTACATTTTACATTTACATTTTAGTAGACGCTCAGAGCGACTTACAGTTAGTGAGTGCATACATTTTTCATACTGGCCCCCCGTGGGAATCGAACCCACAACAAATGTAATGTGACTTGTTTATCAAGTGTTCTGCCTTGCGATAATAAATATCATAAAATAATTAACAAACAAAAAACCTCCAAACTTGCTTATCTTTCTTCTCCATCACCATCTCCTCCCATCTCTGACCCAGTCACAGCACAGCCGAACCGCTGCCACACCAAGTAAAGTTTAATTGTTTATCAACAATTGATACCAGAGCTCCGATCAACCCACGTTACGTCTCAACCATCTCTACCGTTCCCAGCTGACTCCAATGGCTGACTTTCCTCAAATAATTATGCCGCGTTCATGTGCTAGTCCTGGAAGAAGGCTAGTCTACATGATGAGATTATTATGGATAAGAGCGATAATATTTGTATTTGTCAAAAGGCAGTCAAGACATGTCGCCAGAAAAATAAGTTTAATGTTGTCAACTTAAAAGCAAATTAAAGAATGTTTAAATTCAGCATGTGGGAGCGGCTTGTAGGAGCGCCCTGTAAAATGGAAGTCCTAACTGGGAGGAATTGGTTGAATAGGGTGACATCAGCTAAATTGGGCCACTTTTTGGTAAATCGTTTGGGACAATAATACAATACCATATATGCCTTTTCCATGTGTTTTTATGATTAATAATGACTGTTTTTGATAATTTTGTGTTGAAATTATTTAATAAAATATAATTATTTAGGCCCTACAGTTCTTGAAACATCAGCTCTGCCAACATTTGTTGCATGAGCAGTTTCAGGTAAAATGGGCCACAGCTTCAGGTAAAATGGGCCAGTCAAACTCCAAAGGGAAATAGTCATTTATCATCAATTTTAATTTTAAAACACAGTTGCTTATACAGCCACATAACATTTAAACTGCATTAAACAAAAATTCATATGTGCCATTCAAAAAACATTTTGGGTGCAAACCCACATATTCAAATGTGCAATTAAAAAAATCCATTTTGGAACAGCATAGATCAGTGAACTGTCAGTGGTGTGTGTGTGTGTGTGTGTGTGTGTGTGTGTGTGTGTGTGTGTGTGAACAACACATTTAGAACAAAATGTGCATTCACAAAAATACAAAAATTCACATTCCAAATTATTAACTGATATGTTTGTGTGAAAACTTTTCAAACACAGTCTTTGCAAATGAAACCATCGTCAGCACAGATACCATTGTCTTCACCACAGCTCTCATGAAACCAGGCAGAACATGGAACACATTTTAACCATTCCTCAGTAGCCTTAGGGTCATTTGGGTTTCTTCACTCCCTCCCTGTATTCATCTAAGGCACCCTTCATCCTCTCCTCTTTCCACAGATTGTAGTTGTTTGGCCTTCCTTTCCCTCCCTGTTTTATCTTTGTATCCTTTCCTCTCTGGTCCTTGCTCCTCCTCTCTTTTCTCTCGTTCTGTCTCCTCTCATTTCCTCTGCATTCCTTTCTCCTCACCTGTTCTCTCACTTCCTGTCTCCTCTGCTTGTCTCCTCTCTCATCCTTCCTTCTCCTCTCACTTCCTCTCTCTTTCCTTCTCCCTCTCTCCTCTCCTCTCGCTTCCTTCTCGTTTGCCATACTCACTGTAAATAAAATACTACCATTATTACTGTTGGGGGGGGTCATGGTGTGAGTGTGTGTGTGTGTGTGTGTGTGTGTGTGTGTGTGTATGCACGTACATACACATACAAACACAAACACACACCCTTACACACAAACTCACTCACACACACTCAAACACATGTGTATGTGTGTTTGTGAGTGACACAAATGATGGCCCATTTTAGCTGAAACCATGTGGCCCATTTTACCTCAAGGGGTTAAGGTAAATTGGGCCCCCCAAAAAAGCATCACTTTTTCAAAAAATATGTTCATATACCAAACTAACAACATTATTTCTGATTGATGCCATCAAGACAGATATTATGCATAGTTTTTTATGGGCATGTTGTTGTTTTTTTACAGATTTATCATCCTTATAATAGTTTAGTTAGATTTGGTATGCCAGGCTACTCACCATGCAGCTTTCTGGTGCAGTCTTGATTTGAATTATTGCACTGCCCACCATAGCAACCATGAACCAATCAAATCACCTGTTACTTGTCAAGTACAGTTATGACAACAGTTTGAAATCCTTTGCAGTCATTGGCTCTAAATTCCAGAGGGGCTGGGACCCCCAAACCTTAAATGGCCCATTTTACCTGATGGCCCATTTTACCTGATATCACCCTATATATTTCTGCTGTATCAATATTCCCTTAGACATCATAACTTTTTCAGGTCTTAAATGGCACTTAACTGTTAATCTTCAAATCTATCAAAAAGCGAGACTATTTCTAAGGTGATTTTAATTTGATGATATCTACACCCTCTGTTATATTCAAAGTACAGTATTTGTAAAGTGATTTGTATCTAGAGAACATTCCATACCTGTCTGTCAGTCCTTTCTGCTGCAGCTGACACCGTTTCATGGCCTTTATGTTCATCCATCACACACAGCAGACAGATACACTGCTGATCAGTACAGCAGTAAACCTCCAGCAGTTTGTCATGGTGAGGGCAGATCTTCTCCTGTAGTTGTGTGGAGGCTTCGACCAGCTTGTGCTTCTTAAAGGCAAGCGAGTCATAGTGAGGCTGGAGATGAGTCGCACAGTATGAGACAAGACACACCAGACAGTACTTGACAGCTTTGAGTTTTCTCCCAGTGCAGACATCACACTCCACATCTTCAGGTCCAGCGTAACAGTGAGCAGGAGAAGCTTGGGGTCCTGTCCTCTTCAGTTTCTTCACCACTTCAACCAAGACAGTGCTCCTGTTCAGAACAGGCCTTGGGGTGAAGGTATGTCTGCACTGGGGACAGCTGTAGACTCCTTTCAGATCATCCTGATCCCAGCAGCTGTTGATACAACCCATACAGTAGCTATGCCCACAATGTATAGTAACTGGATCCTTTAGTAGATCCAAGCATATTGAACAAAATAACAGATCTTGGTCTTTTAAAATGGCCTCTGCCATTTTGTTGCATGCAGACACAGCCTGAGCAGCATGCTATCTGAGATCACTTTCGTTTTCCTTGAATTGAGAGGTGGGAGTGGCAACATTTATGGCGCTGTTTGTGTGCTCAGAATCTGAAGGGGATTTTGGTCCTGAATAAAGGCCAGAATGAGAAATCACAAAAAGATTACTGATATTTTAACAGAAAGAGATTTCAAAGTTCCAGGTAAAGAACTGTAGCCTTTCCATAGATATGTTTTAAATAAATACATTACCAGTATGACCATACATCATTTGTTTTTGTTTCATGTTTTATTGAGGAGACAAGTGAGCCTAGGTGGCAGTCTGTTTCTGGTCTCTTGTCAACTCCTTATATGGAATTGTTTAGCCCAACCGGTCGCTATTATTCCTTTTACGTCGTCATCTGCGTCTATATATACTAATATTTGTGTCTGTGCCATTATTGCGTCGGTGCCATCATGGGCAACGGCATTTTAAAGTAGTCAAATGTTTTCTTATTCATTGGCTGATTGCTCCCAACTCCTAGGAATCCCCACCCAGTTGACTACTTTTAAATGGTGGAAGCCCTCGATGGCAATATCCATGCTAAAACTGGTTATATCCATGATGAGTCCTCTATCTAACTCAGCGTCCAACTGAAACGTATACAGCTGGCTATATACTTGTGTCCCCCGGTGACCGGCTCATACATAAAACATCCTCCATTCAGTCTGCAAGGGCGTCGGTTTCCTCCTTAACTAACTTTAATGGTGAGCCACCACAAAAAAAAGGGGAAGATTTTCCACCACCATGCTAGAGTGGCTAATGCTACTTCCTGATGTTCAGACGATCAGGTTGCAGTAGTTTGTTGTGGGCGGAACGCAGTGTGCATAGCCTGCGGCTGTGTGAACCCCATGTATCACTCTGAATAAACAAATACTGTGCCTTTGAATATTTTTTTCTGGTTATGCAACTACAATACAGGCTGGATGTCTAAACAAAGTCAATTCTGAATATCAATAGATTTTTAGATTCATTCTCATCAATGACAACATGCTAGAATTGAGTTATCACTCATCGAAGTCTGGTATCCGGGGTAATCTGGTTAATGATTATATGATTAAGTGGCTCTTTCCTTGTAGAATGTTGACAGCTGTATAGAACACATTGTATTGCTAAAATGCTCAAATTTAGCTTAATAGCTACACCAACACAGGATAAACTTTATCCCTCATGCTGGCCCTGACCAAACCGGTAAATTGCCCCTCAGTATAGCTGCACTTCTCCACATTGCCAGATGTATAGTCTTCTCCCCTTTTAATGCTCTTATTTTCATCCCTGAAAAATGCCATAAGGTCTGAAATAGACACCAAAGTCAACATACTGTACAAACAATTATCTTGGCTTAGTAATACAAAATGAAGTGTTGATATACTGCTCTGCTAACTAGTTGAATCGTAGTCAGCGGCTAGCTAAGCCAGAGAAAGGGGACAGAAGAAGTTCAACACTTTATTCAATTCATTTCAATACAGCACATGGATTCATCATGGATTGGGTACAGGTCTCTCAGATCGCGCTGGTGAACGTTAGCTGACAGTGTCAGCTAGCGATGACTTGCAGGAGCTTCCTTTAGGAATTTGTAGTCTTGCTGAGATCTTCTCTGTTGCTAATGAGCGTTTTGTAAATTGAGGCGAATATATTGATAAAACTCACCTTGTCCGAGAGAAAATTACATGGTTATCAAAACACCAAGGTAAGTTTACACCAAACACATAGTGAATTTTACAAACACTTCAAATTAAGTATGTGAAAAATTAATGGTGGAAAGAGGTTGGAACCATTTCCGTGTTTGACCGGTAGGTTTAATGGGTATTATGATATGTCCACCGTGGCGGACTATTGCCACGTTCAAAACAGCTGGGAACTCCGAAAAAGAACGAGCTCCGACTGGGAAAAATCGATTTGAACAGTCACCCAACTCGGGAACTCTGGCCTCTTTCTAAAGCTCCGACTTTATGTCCTGAAAATCACTTCTTCTTCTTTGGTATAATGGCGTTCGCAACAATTATATGTGCATTCCACCACCTACTGTACAGATGGATAATAAGAATCCAAAAAGGAAATAAATAAATAAATTCCATACAAACTATCAGTAACAAAATGTTAATTAAAGTAAATCAGCATGGTTTTCTGTTTTAATCAGGTCCCTACACAGGCTCAGAAGGATCCTGTGATGGCGGGACATTTCCTGGCGACAGTAGTCATTGCAGTGCTTCTGCCGTTAAGTCTTGAGGCCCAAAAACTTATCGGCTGCAGATATAATGATGTCCAGCTTCTTGGACACTTGTGCAGTACAATTAATAACTGTGGCTATAAATGCTACAAAATCCACCTGTATCCAGATGACTTTATTGACGTATAACATTAGCAACTGGTTGTGGTGCATCCACCGCCATATCTTCTTCAAAACTGTGGACACTTGCCCCTTCAACTCCCTTTACCGCCTCCACATAGGACATTTGCTGTACAGCCCTGATCCTTGACACCTCAACCTCTTTCACCCTAACAGGGCACTCAAGGAATTCGGAAATATGATCCCCACCACAGTTGCAACATTTTACATTCACACTCTTCAATAACATATTCATTCCGTCTGCAAACACTTTACACATGGCCAAACTTCTTACACGGCGTTCTTACGGCGTATCTTATATATATCCCAACTTTACATAGGGTGGTAAACACTCAACCATCAATAATACAGAAACGTTGCTCCTTTTCCCCATTCTCCATACGGGTCAAGCGACGTGCATTAACTACTCCTGGAATTTTTAGCCTAAGATATTGATTATCAATGTCCAAAGGGACGCCAGAGATAACATATTTTACCGGTGCCCTGCTCCGAAAATCAAAGCTGTTCACTTCATGCATCGATAATTCCGCGAGCCACAATGCACACTCCTTTTGCTCTTTAGATACACACGATATCAACACCATACCACTCCTGGTTACTTTGACTGCATCTACTTTCCCCAACGCCTTCTTCACCATCCTCGTGACTTCAAAAGGGTTTCCCAAATAAACATCCTTATCCAAAAAACGTACTCCAACAAGCAGCGATTCATCAGACTCATTTTCCACATATTTTTTTTGCCCTTTTTGTTCCATTCTTGGACTTCACTGTTGTCCAGTTATCTTTCTCGCTAACTGTACTCGACGTCCTTTCAGTTTCAAACGACACTTCTGCTTCCGCCATCTCCCCTTCTCCCTACCATGAAGATCACTGACGTCATGATTGAAACTCTTTTTCTTGTTGTTTTGAACTCGGCAAAAAAAATTTGATTAGGCAAAAGTACAAACCAATCTGGGACCAGGCTAAATTGAAAGTTGGGAAAAGGTTGGATTTGAAAATGAAAGGACTGTCTTGATAAGTAGATTTGGGAAATTGTGGAGGTCTGCTGAATCAGTCATCATTCTGATATGAATGTATGACCACTGTCCATGAAGGAGAGGAAAGGAGGAAAATTGGGGTCGCGGGATTTTGGGCAGAACGCGAGATTTCCCATGTGACCAAGGGAACCGTGTTTTGTTGCTGGCTGGCATGACTTTCTAAACCACTATCTCGCTAGCTAGCACGTGAGCATATTTGCAATTCGCATGGAGCTTCCAGAGCCGATCAGAAGACGTTTAGGAGACTTTTCCAGAACTGTGTTTGTTGATCAGAGTCATACTCAACCATCTCCCGAAGATGTCACGTTTTTGGGGCACAGTGAGTGGACACTTGGATGGATTGGTAGCTGAAACGCTAGCTAGCGCTTGTCTCAACTAGTACTGTAGCTAGCTAAACAAGCCATTACCAACCCATTATCCATAGGTACCAGGCAGATATTATTTACATCTGTTGGGCCGGTCGTGTATAGGTTATCTACTAACTAGCTTACTAGCAAGTAGGATACGGAAAGATAACGTGAATCCTATTGTTTTACGTTCCCAGACAGTGAGGTTGTCTCCAGCCTGCCTCTCCAGATGTCACTGTTCTTCAACATGTGTTTTTTCCCACTGTGGTGGATCAGCGAGGTGGTGATGCTGCACCTCAAGGTAACTCACCTCTAGAATTTAGATGCACTCATACTCTATGTACCTAAATGTAACCAGTATCTAAATAAACCCCTTTGCCTTTTTTTTCTTGTTTCAGTATCCAGCCCTTCCTGACTACTATAAGTTCATCCTCATCACCATTCTCATTCTGATGACTCTCATAGAGGCTATCAGACTCTACCTAGGCTATGCAGGAAATTTGCAAGAGAAGGTACACACTTTCACTGTCTCCTTAATTCTTAAAGGGCGACTGTACTTCCTGATTTGGCCTCATTTTAGATTTGGTTCATTAAGAAATTCTAGTGGCCATGACTGAATTCAAAAGTGAGTTGGTTTCAGGGTATGGTTTGATATGGGTGTCTCGTGTGTGTTTGCAGGTGGGAAGAGTTATCCAAATGATTAAGCCAATTAGCTTCATCCGACTGGTGTGCAACCCTGGCAAAATTGGTTTGGATAGCCTATTTCTGGGGCTAGTTGGGGACCGTCAATATATTACTAATGTAAATGAGACAATATTTTCATGTTGCACACCTTTTAGTTTTCTCATTAAATGCTTTCAATATTTGTATATGAATTTCTACAATTTATAGTTGGTTTGAGGTTTTTAAGTCATTGAAATTTGGAGCTATTGGAATTTTAACATATTATCCCATGTACATTGTGTAATTTACAGATGGTCCCTAACTAGCCCCATAGGTATATCTAACGTCAACCCAAATTTACCACAGGCATTACGATTGGGTCGCTGCACTTCAAATTGACGATTACTTGTGTGCTGACAGCTGTGAGCAGGTTTGAAACAAACCCAACTTTCATTTACTCTGTTTTAGACGAGACTGACTTTATGGCCAAAATTATCGTATTTATTTACATTTACATTTTAGTCATTTAGCAGACGCTCTTATCCAGAGCGACTTACAGTTAGTGAGTGCATACATTGCTCTATCAACTGAGCTACATCCCTGCCGGTCATTCCCTCCCCTACCCTGGACGACGCTGGGCCAATTGCGCGCCGCCCCATGGGTCTCCCGGTCGTGGCCGGCTACGACAGAGCCTGGATTTGAACCAGGATCTCTAGTGGCACAGCTAGCAGTGCGATTTTGACAGTATAATAAATATTTCTGACCTATATCAATGCCACAGGCTGTTTTCTAAATGAGAAGTTGGTTTTTATGGGCAGTTGCTCTTTAAGCCATAGGCCACCTCTGGGGTTGGCCCATGGTTGGAAAACACCTCACAGAGAACTGGTCTTGGGTGATTGTTTACGGTCTCTCTCTCATGACAGGTTCCTGAGCTGGCTGGTTTCTGGCTCCTGAGTCTCCTGCTGCAGTTTCCTTTGATTCTGTTTCAGCTCTTCAACCAAGCCATTCTGATCCAACCTCTGGAGAGAGGGGTTCACATCATTCTGGCCCTGTTCATACTCACACAGGTGAGGTTGCATGCCTGTTGCCTGTTCCTACCATGGTAACTAGATTACTGTCCAATTTGACGACATTGGGGTAATTTAAACCCTGTTCAAACCAGAAACCCTGGTTTATTCTCTCTGTCGTGTATAAAGGTTGTGTGTCTGGGGTCTCCCGAGTGGCGCAGCGGTCTTGAGGCGTCACTACAGACCCGGTTTCGATCCTAGGCTGTGTCGCAGCCGGCCGCGACCGGGAGACCCATGAGGCGGCGCACAATTGGCCCTGCGTCGTCCGGGTTAGGGGAGGGTTTGGCCGGCCGAGATGTCCTTGGGTTAAGCGAGCAGTGTGTCAAGAAGCAGTGGGGTTGTGTTTTAGAGGACGCATGGCTCTCGACCTTCGCTTCCCCCAAGTCCGTACGGGAGTTGCAGCGATGGGACAAGACTGTAGCTACCAATTGGATATCACGAAATTGGGGAGAAAATGTTTTTTTTTTTAAACGGTTGTGTGTCTGTTCTAACACAGTCCTTTTCTCTCTCAGGCCCTCTCTGGCTTTGTGGCTCTGCGTGGGATGGTCAGACACACAGAGAGCCACTTCCACCTCAGACAGTTTGATGGGGTTCAGGACCTGAGGGCAGCCTGACTGCTCTGCTGAGCTGACACGCAGAGATAGAGGTACTCAGGTGTAAATCTCCCATTTGATGTTGATTATCATTAAGGAGAAATTTGAGTTGCTTAAGTGTATCTCAAGTTAGAATTCAGCTCTGTGTTTTATCAGTGGACCATGTTCAGCCATTTACACAGATGTATTTTATTGATGTTTGTGCCTTGAGTGATTATTTTTATTTTTGTATTGATGTGAAGACAATAAAGGTTTGGGTTTTTAGACACGTATCTGTTTCACAATGTTTATGCTACAATAATATCAGGTCTGAATATGACGTTGCTACGAGCAACACCGCAGATATTGAGATGAGTGAGATGCAAGACTTTGCTCTCACACCGTCACACACAGTATCTGCGCATGTGCACAGGTTCTCTTCACGCTGTTTACAGTTGTTCAGGAAATGTTCCCACTATGCTGTTTACTTTCTGCATCTACATCATATCACTTATTCTATCTTTAATGGGACAGTATTTTCTGGACTGGTGTTATTTTATGATGTGGACATGATACTTTGATCAATGAGTTGACTCTTGATTAACATAAATAATTTACTGCATAGATAGTGACTCAATCTGATTATGCCTTCAATCGATAAACGGAAAATAAATAATTGACACTATGAAAAATGTATACAAAATATTATAAAAAGTTAAATTAGGTTTACAACGACGTGAAGACTAAGAAAGGCACACAATCAAGACAAAAATAAATGTAATTTCTATATCCACCTGAAAGGCAATGTGCTGTACATGTTAAAGCACATTCACACTGCACCTTAGACCAGGGCTAAGAGCAGTGCTTGACTTGCAGGAGCTCACATTTAATTGGATATATCCATGATAATAATATTGTTGTATGTTTTCGCCAGGATCAGAAAACTTGATGTCTCGTTCGTTCACAGCAATCTCTGTACAGGGGCAAGATCGAATTTCAAAAGTTTAACATTGTGACCCGTGTCGGATAGGCAGATATACAAACCATCACTGTTGGAAATGCAAGGCTAGTAGAAGCAAGAGGAAATAATGTTAATAGATGTCTAATTGATTATAACATTGGTCGCGTGTCAGAGAATGTTGGTCGCATGTTGTGTTTGTCCGTTAGCCAGGGTTTTGGAATACAAGTGTGAATCCTTAGCCCAGGGCTAAAGCTTAGCCCAGGGTTAACAAATGCTTCAACACAGGCTAAGCTATTCCAGGGCCAGTCTAGCCTGGGGCTAAGCTAGCCCGGGGCTAAGAACAATGCAGTGTGAAAAGGCCTTTATTGTCCCATGGTCAAAATAGTTGCAGAAACTCCCTCTAGTCTCCATCCATCTTCAAGGGTTCATATCAGCAGTCTGTCTGATACATTTGCCAATGTGTGTCCCTGCCTGGTTCTCAGCTCAAAAGGTGCTTTACTGCGAGCGAGGAGGGGCAGACCTTGACAGTCTGGCGACCATCCTCTCCTCCAGATCTGCCCCTGTCCCTGCCTCGGACCCCTCTCCCATTGGCTGAGATTCTGGAGCCTACGTAGACTGTCTCGCTTTGGGGGCCGATGATCTATCTGGGAGTGGGTGGTCGAGGACATCTGTGGTAAAACGCCCATTTCCTCTTCATCCTCCTCTTTCAAGGTCTGCTGGTCCAACCTGAGGAGAAGAATAGTACCATTCAGAGTACCGTATTTTCCGCACTATAAGGCGCACTTAAAAGCCTTTCATTTTCTCAAAAAACGACAGTGCGCCTTATAATCCGGAGCGCCTTATATATGGATCAATTGGTTAATTGGTTGATCCATACTGGTTGTACACGGCGCTCAAGGCGCTCTGTCAAAATGTTTCAGTATGAAAAACCAATAAAACCAATTTAATAAAAATGAAATGTTTCAGTACGACTGGTAAACTACAAAGCCGCACCGCTTGCAGCATTACGGCTACCGTAGTCAGTAAACACCGGTACTGTGCTTACTCACAGTCCCACACCACTTGTGTGTGTATAAAGACCCCAAAATGGCACCTTTCAAGAGACACGCTTACGACGCAGAGTTCAAGCTCAAGGCTGTCGGTCACGCAGTAGAATATGGGAATAGAGCAGCAGCGAGAGAATTCAACATTAATGAATCAATGGTACGGAAGTGGAGGAAGCAAGAAGATGACCTGCGCCAAGTAAAGAACACTAAACAGAGTTTCCGTTCAATTCGGACACTGAAGAAGAAGAATTCGAGGGATTCGTGGACGGGGAAAGCTTTACGTGTTATACGTAACTGAACAATGTTGAGTTATGCACTAACGTTTGATTTAGTGGTATCAGACTGTTTCTTTTACTACGTGTTTACTGAATCAGGGAAAAGTTCCCCTCCACGTTTGGGAGAAGAGTTAGCAAGGCAGGAGATATTGTTAATATGCACATTAACGTTTGAACAACGTTACCATGGGAGTGAACGGAGTTGTCAGAACGCTTAATAAAGTTTGACTTTATCTGACTGTTTTGTTGACATTCCCTTTAGCACAGCTCCATCTAGTGGATGCATAACGCAACCCCAGTCAAACGTTTGACTTCAGTATCTTCTATTCAATGCGCTTTATAATCCGGTGCGCCCTATATATGAAAACAGTTCTAAAATAGGCCATTCATTGAAGGTGCGCCTTATAATCCGGTGCGCCTTATAGTGCGGAAAATACGGTAGACACATTCCAAAATTAGCTTTGAATGTAGTTTTTAGAAGTACTAGCTGCTAATACAAAGAACAATGTAAAACTGGTATAACCCAAGGGGTGGCATACCCTTTTAGTACCTGTGGTTGTTGTTCACACTCGCTGCTGCTGCTGCTGCTGCTGCGTCTCCACCAGACACACGCCTGCCTGCTCCCCCCCTCAGCGGCTCTCTCTGCGGGGCCCTGCCTCTGTACTCCAGCCCCTGTCTGGTCCCCCCATGGACAGTTATGGCTACAGAGAAGAGAGGGAGGGAAAAGGGGATATAACTGGGGCAGGACAACAGCGGGTGAGAGATATATACAATACCAGTCAAAAGTTTGGACTCACCTACTCATTCCAGGGTTTTTCTTCATTTTTACAATTTTCTACATTGTAGAATAATAGTGAAGACATCAAAACTATGAATAACACATGGAATCATGTAGTAACCAAAAAAGTGTTAAACAAATGAAAATATATTTTATATTTGAGATTCTTCAAAGTAGCCACCCTTTGCCTTGATGACAGCTTTGCACACTCTTGGCATTCTCTCAACCAGCTTCATGAGGTAGTCACCTGGAATGCATTTCAATTAACAGGTGTGCCTTGTTAATTTGTGGAATTTCTTTCCTTCTTAATGCGTTTGAGCCAATCAGTTGTGTTGTGACAAGTTGGGTTGGTATACAGAAGATAGCCCTATTTGGTAAAATACCAAGTCCATATTATGGCAAGAACAGCTCAAATAAGCAAAGAGAAATGACAGTCCATCATTACTTTAAGACATGAAGGTAAGTCAATCCGGAACATTTCAAGAACTTCGAAAGTTTCTTCAAGTGCAGTCGCAAAAACCATCAAGCGCTATGATGAAACTGGCTCTTATGAGGACCGCCACAGGAAAGGAAGACCCGGAGTTACCCCTGCTGCAGAGGATAAGTTCATTAGAGTTACCAGCCTCAGAAATCGGCATTTTTGGTTCCAACCGCTGTGTCTTTGTGAGACGCAGAGTAGGTGAACGGATTATCTCCGCATGTGTGGTTCCCACCATGAAGCATGGAGGAGGTGTGATGGTGTGGGGGTGCTTTGCTGGTGACACTGCCAGTGATTTATTTAGAATTCAAGGCACACTTAACCAGCATGGCTACCACAGCATTCTGCAGCGATACGCCATCCCATCTGGTTTGCGCTTAGTGGGACTATCATTTTTCAACCGGACAATGACCCAAAATACACCTCCAGGCTGTGTAAGGGCTATTTGACCAAGAAGGAGAGTGATGGAGTGCTCTATCAGATGAACTGGCCTCCCTCCACAATCACCTGACCTCAACCCAATTGAGATGGTTTGGGATGAGTTGGATCGCAGAGTGAAGGAAAAGCAGCCAACAAGTGCTCAGCATATGTGGGAACTCCTTCAAGACTGTTGGAAAAGCATTCCATGTGACTACCTCATGAAGCTGGTTGAGAGAATGCCAAAAATGTGCAAAGCTGTCATCAAGGCAAAGGGTGGCTACTTTGAAGAATCTAAAATATAACATATATTTTGATTTGTTTAACACTTTTTTGGTTACTACATGATTCCATATGTGTTATTTAATAGTTTTGATGTCTTCACTATTATTCTACAATGTAGAAAATAGTAAAAATAAAGAAAAACCCTTGAATGAGTAGGTGTGTCCAAACTTTTGACTGGTACTGTATATCTGGAGTCATTGCCAGATATAGAATACAAAGAAACATACAGTGAGGGAAAAAAGTATTTGATCCTCTGCTGATTTTGTAAGTTTTCCCCACTGACAAAGAATGATCAGTCTATAATTTTAATGGTAGGTTTATTTGAACAGTGAGAGACAGAATAACAACAAAAAAATCCAGAAAAACGCATGTCAAAAATGTTAAGAATTGATATGCATTTTAATGAGGGTAATAAGTATTTGACCCCCTCTCAATCAGAAAGATTTCTGGTTCCCAGGTGTCTTTTATACAGGTAACGAGCTGAGATTAGGAGCACACTCTTAAAGGGAGTGCTCCTAATCTCAGCTTGTTACCTGTATAAAAGACACCTGTCCACAGAAGCAATCAATCAATCAGATTCCAAACTCTCCACCATGGCCAAGACCAAAGAGCTCTCCAAGGATGTCAGGGACAAGATTGTAGACCTACACAAGGCTGGAATGGGCTACAAGACCATCGCCAAGCAGCTTGGTGAGAAGGTGACAACAGTTGGTGTGATTATTCGCAAATGGAAGAAACACATAAGACCTGTCAATCTCCCTCGGCCTGGGGCTCCATGCAAGATCTCACCTCGTGGAGTTGCAATGGTCATAAGAACGGTGAGGAATCAGCCCAGAACTACACGGAAGGAACTTGTCAATGATCTCAAGGCAGCTGGGACCTTAGTCACCAAGAAAACAATTGGTAACACACTACGCCGTGAAGGACTGAAATCATGCAGCGCCCGCAAGGTCCACCTGCTCAAGAAAGCACATATACAGGGCCGTCTGAAGTTTGCCAATGAACATCTGAATGATTCAGAGGAGAACTGGGTGAAAGTGTTGTGGTCAGATG